TTCTTACAAAATACTGTACTGTAGCACCATTCTGGGGTTAATGTAGGTAAATGGCTCCCTCTAGTGGAAATATTTTGAATTACAACTATTTGAAGCTAGAGTCCTAAAAGGATCTTAAAAGTTCATTTTAAAAAATTTAACCCTGTAGTCTCAGCACTAGGCTGAGGCAGGAAGATTGACGCGAGTTCGAGGCCAGACTAGGTTGCATAGGATCAAAGCCAGCCTGAACTACACAGAAAAACCCTGTCTCAAAAAAACAAAAAAAAAAAAAAAAAGTGTGACTCAATTGACAAATAGTGAGGCTTAAAAAAAAAACTTGTAAAATCCTACCATACATAAAAGATTCACTACCCTCCAGTCCCCTCCTTTTCAAGTGTAACAAGGGTTTTTAAGTGAGCACTAACTTTTTCAGTCTAAGTTGTGATATGAAATTTTAGTGTTGAGAAGGTAGCAAATTAGGTGTTTTTCTATTTGGGAAAATGTCTTCAAAGTGAGAAAGTACCTGAGGAAGTTTATCAGAAGGTTGAATAGAGAAGTATATTACCTGACCTTGTAGAAAATGATGACCTAAGATTAGGAGCAAACACTGTATGCTCTTTAATTGCTAGGTTCAGTGGATTGAAGGACTCTTAACACACTATACACAAGTGCTGCCATACATTTGCTGTTTCTTCAGATTGGTTTTATTATAAAAGGTGAACTAGGGGCTGGGGATTTATCTCAGTGGAGCCACACCTACCTTGCAAGTGCAAGGTCCTGAGTTTGATCCCTGGTACCAGAAAAAAATAAAAATAAAAGGTGAACTTGCTAAAAAATAATAAAGGAGTGATAATCATATGTCTTCTGTGGTTCTATGAAGCTACCTACATGTGAAGCATTCATGAGCAGGTATTTATGTACTACAGATTGCTTTTAAAATTTTTTATATAAAGGACTTTCTGTAGGTTTGCTAAGCACTAGTTTTGAAATTCATCTATTCTGTTGGACATTTGGTTTTCTTAAAAAAAAATCTTTTTAATACAATGCTCATAAAATTGTTTCCAAGCATGCAAGTGTCTTAGTGTTTGCAAGTGTTTAGCTTTACTGGGTAATGGCAAAATAATTTCCAAAGTAGCCATATTGTTAAGCACTAATCCGTTTTGCTATCATGCATTAACAATTCATACCAACTGAATTTTCACCTTTTGCCAACTGTGAAGATATTGAAATTCAATTTCATTTTTTTCAGTTAGTGATATGGAGATATATGGCTCCCTTCTATTTGTTTGCTGGCTATCGTATGGGTTAATTATTCAAGGGATGATTTACAGCTATGTACGGCATGCCACTTCAGGCAATAAGGAATCATATATTCAATAGTTTTCACCTAAGGAATATGAAGCTGAAAACATTCCTGCAATGTTTTCACTGTACCTTTTCTAGTTACCACAATGTTCCCACCGTGTATTCAGTGGTTCCATGCTGTGCAAACTTGCAGTCTAGGAGCAACAGGCCCTATCATCTAGGTTTGTGCAAACACGAGGTGATGTTCAACATTCAAATCATGGCTTTCCTAGAACATATCTCTATTAAGCAAAGTGACTATGTGTGCACATACATAGCCTTGGTAGTTAGCAACAGATGAGCGCCTATTTCTGCAGTCCCTAGATGTCATCATGCCTTTTTTACCTTTGTGTGTGCAAATAATCTAATTGAAGTTGGATTTAAATTCACTGAATTATCTTTAAAACCTAAATTCAGTCTTCTGTGAACTACTCATATCTTTTGCCTATTTTTATTAGCTTTTCTTATTGAGTTGAGGAAACTGACCATTTTCTCTGAAGGGAGCTGGCAAGTTCCTCCAAATTTTAACTTTGTTACACAAAATCTTAACGAAAAAAATTAACGTTTTTCTTGTCTGACATTTAGGTTTTGTCTCACAAACATCCTTAATTTTGAAGATTAAAAAACAATATACTAATTTTAATTGCATTATCTAGAATTCTGGTACATAGTATGAGGTAGGTATGAACCCAAATCTCTTTGCAAATATTTAGTTTTCCCAATACTTGTCAAATAATCCATCTTTTTTTCAATGATCTGAAGTGTATACATGAATTTCATGTGTATGTAGGTGTCTCCGGACAGGTTGAGGTCAGCATGGACAACCTGGCAAGAGCCGGTTCTCAAAATAACAAGATAGGGCCGGGGGTTTAGCTCAGTGGTTCTGCCGCCTGCCTCTTAGGCGCAAGGACCAGAGTTCGATCCCTGGTACCAAAAAACAAAAACAAACAAAAATAAACATTAAAAGGGGCTGGGAATGCAGCTCAGTGATAAATAAGACCACTTGTCTGAGGCCCTGGATTCAATCTCCAGTACTGCAAGAACAAACTTCCACTTTTTCTGGCTTCCTTTATGAACTCTAAAATAGTTAGAAAAGCATATAGTTAAGAAATGTGTTGCTAATCTTTTTGAGATGGGTGTTTAAAACACTGTAAGCTATAAGCTGGTAATCATTTAGGTAAGTAATCTCTTAGGCCCTTTGATCATGTTTTACAAGCATCAAAATTTCTTAATCAATTCAGTTCTTAAGGTATCAAAGCCACTTAAGTTGTTCTTGTGAAGATGGAAGCCTGTCTTTTTTTTTTTGGTACCAGGAATTGAACTCAAGACTTTGTGCTTGCCAGGCAGGCGGGGTGCCGCTCAGCTATATCCCTGGCCTCTAGGGTCTCTACTCTTTAAGAGGAAGGAGCTAACTCTGATTCTTCTATAGGTATTAAAGTCTTCCACAATGACCTCCACTTTTGTTAAATGCAAAGTGAATTCTCAGTCCTTTTACTTCATCTAAAACTTAATACCATGCTCTTGTGGTTTTCTGATTTCCATACTGAAATGTTTCAAGTGTTAACTTTTCAGCCTCATGGTTTGAAATGTAGTGTGTGTGGCTCACTTAAGTTTCTGCTCAAATGATACCTTCAGGCTCTCATCCATCTCTCCTCAGTCAGTGAGAAACAGCAAGCTGCTCTTGCCATCACCCGCTTTTTCTAAGGAGTATGCACTACCATGCAACATGCTATTTTACATTCTCTCTCCGTACAGTAGAACGTAAACCACATGAGGCCAGGGAACAGTACCTGCAGCCTTCGACTTGGATAACTTAAATATGTAATACAGAGTTCACTGAGATTTCCTAAACGTTAGAAAACTGTGCTATTGTCACAATTTTGTACAAGTGAAAGATAGTGTGACTATATCACCCTTTGACCTGACAACTCTACTAAGGAATCACTGTAGATGTATCCAAGTGTTTAAGCATGGCAACACTCATCATAATTTCTTTTTTTATAATTTCTAAGAGTGAAAACTTAGGAACAACTTCTGAATGCCCTAAAGACAGTTGTGTAAGTTATTCATAGATTATGTAGTTATGTCACTGTATATTAACTAAAATTTTGTATACAACAGCCAGGAATAGTGGGGCATGTCTGTATTCCCAGTACTTAAGAGGCTGAGGCAGGAGGATTGCCACAAGTCTGAGGCCAGCCTGGGCTACATAGTGAATTCCAGGCCAGCCTGAACTACAAAAACAGCAAACAAAAAGATTTAACATCTCGACTGCATATTCATATGCACAAAAATATTAAGTTGTATCACTAGGCAGCTGTGTTAAAATTCACTTAAAATTGTACACTTGTAAAAAAAATTCACTTGTCATTCTTAAATTATTTAAATTCTTGAAAAGCCAATGTAAAAACAGAATATTTAAAATTTAAATTCCTAGAAATGAATTGCATTAATAACTAGCAGGAATCCTAGCATTCTTGGTATACCAATTCTGTGTATTACTGCCAATGCCCTAGAGATCATGTTAAATTTCCAAATTGTAATCTGCAAACAATTAAATCGCGGATGTTTTAAGGGATTAAATCTTCACATCAAATTAACATGAGACTTGGAGATTAAGGACTACAAATGGCAATAGCATCTATAATTTCCATATTCAATTGCACAGTACAGAGAAAATCCAAAGTCTGAGCTGTGTAGTTCTGCCACTTTTCCCAATCATTCCTAATTACATAATGTGTAAGCTGCAGACTATGAAATTACAAGATAAAAAAGTGATGAGCCATCTTTGTCACTAATATAGTCCTTTGAACTGAGAATCATTTGCATAAAGTAGATAGGACTTTTATTTCACTAAAATGTTGAAGATATACAAAAGAAAAAGATCTTTAGCTTCAGGCACAATTTAAGAATGTAGCAGCAAATTAGAACCCGGAACTAATAATAAAGTGATTTTAATGAACTTTGTTCATAACTGAAGTTCTAAATTCAGGAATCTTAATTTTTTTTGAAGATGTGTTTTAGAACACAATACTCAAGTTCTAAATTGTTTTCCTGTCAACACAATTGTGGTACTTCAAATTTGCCTTCTCCTCTTCTAAATGTCAAATAGAAGACTTGACAGTTAATGTACACATATTTCCTAAAATGTATTAACACACTTGAATTAGTGACATGCAACTATAACAGATTACAACCCATAGAAAAATGACTTGTATAAATGTTAAGTTTCCAAAATTGTAAGCCTTAATTTCTTCAAGGATAAACAAAAAGCCATAAAAGGACACACACTCATACACACTCATGCATGCAACCTACCCTTACATCTACATTTTAGTCACAGCTTCACCTTTAATTCCTTTTGTACAATAGCATCTCATCTATCCTTGAACAACTGAACCTAGAAACAACTGTTTAGACACTTACCAATAACAGCAGTAAGTTAAAATGTACAGAATACAGGGTTTCAATGTACTACATAAATAAGAAAACACTCAAAAAGTAAATGATGCTGGACAGTAGAGTGCATTAAACTAAAAACAACAACACATCTTTAACAAGAAAACACAGGGAGGGGGAAAAAAAAAACAAACTCCACAAGACCTATTAAGACCCAAAAGGAGGGTGGTGGAGAAAGAAAGTTCATTTTCTTTCATCAAAAATCAAACTGCAACATCTATAGTTAAACAACTTTATTAACATAGTCAAGCAGTGATTAACATTCACATCTATTATGTCACATCATACAAATGTAAATACAAAAATTACTACAGTACAATATATATTCTCTGCATGATCCAAAATATTTGGTGGCCCCAAAAAACTCTTTTAAAATTCAGCAGCTTATCAAAAATTAAAACCGTATTCTATTTTAAATGAAGATCTGTAAGCACAGAGTTAGACTTCAAGAATTATCAATTTAGTACAGTTTGAGAAATTGCAGGAGGATATGTTTGAAGGACGCATTCTAACATAGTGTGGCAAGTACAAGAAACATCAGATTTAAAGCTTTTAAGCATAACTCATACAACCTAAGTTGTCAGCAGAAAGATCCAGTTATTTATAACTAAAGCTAATGCTACTAAATTATTGCACCCAATGTTAACATGAATATTAAGTGTAAAACTGCTGTATAATATGAAGTTATTTACCACATTTAAATATCTTTCTTACAAGATAATCTATTGAGTAATTATACAGTATTGTCTAATTATCTCCATAAAAATCCACCAAGCTTAATTTGGTAGTATACCTTAGTATACCCACAAAGGAAAACAAAGTATGAGGAAAAGTATAGTGGAACCCTTTATGAGGCTGACATCAGGAGGGGACCAGCACTGCCTTATAGGCTAACCATGTAATAGCAGGCTTTGAGTAAGATAATCAGACCTGTAAAATAGCCAATTCTGTGTAAGACACAGTATTAGGGGACCCTATGGTAAATAAAATTGGTTATAAAAGGAAAACTACTGGCATTTCTATTTAGTGATATACTGCTTGGCAAATAGATTTGGCTTGGTTTTAAAATATACAAGTGAAAAAAAATCACGATTTTTAACTTCCCTCAAAATCATGCATCCATTTAGCTGTTATGCATCTTTTTATCTAAACACAACACATTCTGGGATACAACAAACAGTCGCTACAATTTAAATGTACACCTTAAAATTAATATGCATAATAATTAGGCATAAAGAATTATCTACACATAGATAATGCCAATGGGAGAAAGATCTATATAAGACTGAAAAGATTAGTCACAAGTCACCCAGCAAGTACACAGGTGAATGAAACCAAAATTTCATGTGAAATTTTAAAGAGTCATTAGAAGTATTGCCACATTTAATACAGTACAAAATGCACTAAGTTGGCATACAATGTAATACTAGATAATGTTGTTAACACAGCTCACAATTGATCTAATATTTTACCTAGATTACCCCAGGCCCTTAACTATTTGAGGACTAGTTTTCTTACCGATTCCAACGCCTACACCTCATTAACAGTACTAGTGGCAATAATTAGTGTTTTCCTCCCTTGTAATATTTGCAAAACTAATTCAGTAAGCAAAGCTGTGTTTTTGAAGTACTACCAAAGGAAGGATTTAAACTGCAGTTACTCATGATACACTCTTCTCTTGGAAAGAATGTTTTTGCACCGTTGTCTGTTAATACATTCAATATGAATATAGGTTAATTATATGAAGAAAAAAATAAAAATCAACCAAAAATAAAATCACACCCCCCCCCATAGCAAAGGTCTTTAATTTAGACTAAAGGGTTCAAGACATAACTAGTTTAATTCTGGCATTTCCCCTATGCAGAATAATTTTATACAGGGGGAAACTTTTCTATTTTCCTATTTAGATGGTTTGGAGGACCAAATTTAGCACATCTTCAAATAATCTGCACATAAAAGGCTTGTGGAGAATTCTAAACCCCTTCGGTCTGCTAAAACTAGAAAAATTGAAAGATACCCAATGAAATACACCACCAAAAAAGCCTATAAGTATGATGACCCTTTATAAACATGCCATGAAAGCAAAAATGATACAAGGGTATTCACCTGAGATAAAACTTGTATCATAATATTCTGTAACTGAGTAGACAAAGCATTTCAAGAGGAAAGTCAGTGGAAATTATTTTAAAATATACATCTGATCTTATTTTACAATATATGCAATTTAAGCAATTCAGATCAATGAAAAAGTCTTAACCAAAAAAATCACAGTGTTTTATCAATATGTTAATTACAAAAAAAGCTACTTATTTTGTTTTTAAGATGTAATGGCTTGGTTAAGTGTTTTAAAATCTAGTCTTCTGAAATCTAACTTGCGTAACAAAATCAAGTAGCAATAATGTAAAGCATCAGAACTGGCTCTTAAAGATATTTACATGTTGGTTATTTTGGAAATAACCAACCAAAAAATATAAAAGTGATTTTTTTTTACACAATATGAAGTCATTATATATTAGACAATACAAAAAGCAAAATTACTTCCTGAATAAATGAGTATCTGTGGCACTAAGTTCACTTGCTAATGGTCTGTAACATGGAACTGCCAAACATGCATCTAAATTATATTAAACAAACTTTCTGTTTCCAACTTAGGTTGATCAGCAGCTTTTGTTCTGTTAGAATCCTTCAAAGAGAGAAGCTCAAACAGGAAAAAGAAGGCATATATAAAACAGTAAACACTGACCTCCTGAGGTTCCTACAACATAAAAATATTCAAGTAGAAAATCTACATCACTTAGCAGCGGCTATTTCTGTAGTTGACCACACTAAGAGCATTTTAGTGTGTAAGGAGCAGATGAAGTAAGCCGTGCTTTAAGCATGCCAAGAGGCACAAACACTGGAATGTAACAAAGACAACTCACAATCTCATAGACATTCAGTCAACATTCAAAACCATTAAGACTACACCACAAGAATTAAGTTGCTTTATATATATCTATATATATATCCCATGATGTATTTTAAGTTTAATCAGAAGAATAAATGCTAAATTAGAGCTTACCTCAAAAGATAACTTAAATGGCTTCTGCAAATTCCTGTGCTATATACTATGTTATGTGAAACACAATATCAATCAAGAAGAAACAATAATCTCCACGGGGAAAAAAAAAGTTCAACCTAAAATCAGGTTGCAAATTATAGTCACTTAATTTTATTTTCTATTTTAAAATTAGAATTTCTTTAAATATGGAAATAGGTCAACCAACTACAAAATGGGCACGTTATTATGTTACCCATTTGCCTAACTGGAAACTAATTTTGAACCAAGTAAAATATTCATTTTTAATATTGCTTTTCATCAATACAGAATTGTTAATCAGAGGTTAAGATAAATTTGACTGTTTTTATGTACTTGTTTTGCTGCATTTAGAGAATTTTGCCATTTCTTAAAGATATTTACTCTCCTTTTCCAGAATATTAAAAGTTTTCCATATTAAATTCTATTGTTCTGGTTTTTCTTTGGTACCGGGATCAAATTTGGGACCTTGTACCTACGAGGCAAGTGGCCGCACCACTGAACTAAATCTCTAGCCCATACCCATATTAAATTCTAAAAGGTATCACTATATTTAAGGATAAAATAATTATCCTACTTAGGTTTTAGAGACTAACCAAGAAGCAAATTCTGAGCTCCCAGTAAAACAACTGAACTAGAAAGCAAAATGCCATAAACCTTTGAACCTAACTTGTAGTAATTCTTAAAAAATTGGGGATTATAAAATGACTTAATTTCAGGCTGAAGAGACTGAAATTTGCAAAGCCAAAGTAGAGCAAAGAAGGTGAAAGAACATGTTAAAAAAAACACACACAATAACAAAAACCTTTCTGCATGCTACCATGCATCTGACATTTTTTGAAACAGTATTTATAGTCACACACACACACAGCTCAAATGTCAGTGCAATGGCTGTATCATTCAATACTTTTAGAGAATAGAACCATGCAAAGAGGAGCAACTGCTTATAAAAATGGTTATTCAGTATTTATTCTGCAATGCAAAGGTGACAAACTAAAATATAAAAAGGCTGTTATGGCTTAACATTTTTTGTTGCAGATTAAATATGCAGCATTGAAAAATGGAAAGGCGTGGCTTCATCTCTGACCAGCAGAGTTAAAAAGAAAAATCTCTCCATTTTCCTTCATCATCATGGGATACACTGTTCAGGCAATCCAAATTAATAAAGACTTGCACTTTCATATGGACAAAGGATCAAGTGTACCAGTTAGGTTTTCACATTCACAGTATATAAGAAAATACACATGAAAGGAAAAGTAAAGGATTAACTTAACAAGGATTTATTCACAGAAATACATGTAAGTAGAGAAAAAAACCAGAAAAGCTAAACAAATGAAATGAAGAGGATCCAAACCAACTTTCACTCTGTAGCTTTTAACTTGCACCCCATGTGCATTATATTTAGGGCACAGAGGGCCACCAACATGCGCCAATACAGTGTAGGAACCCTGCATTACTTACATCCATTAACTTAAACATATCTTTAAGATCATGCTTTGAACAAAAAAAGAAGGCTTAGAAGGCAGTATGTTGAATGGGAATAAACAATGAATTATACCAATCATTTTTCAACTTCTACAATTGTCTTTAAGTGCCAACTAACACTTATGCAGCCTTTTACAGATCTTTTACCATGTAATTTAAATTTTAGAAATTTTGATAAAATCGCTAGTAGTATATAACCATGCAGAAAGCACATCACACTGACAGCACAGAGGCAAAGATTTTGCACAGGTATATCAGCTTTCCACATTGTGCAGGTTACACACAATACAATATCAATCTTATTTCTAACAGATCCTAAAAAGATATTTCAAGGCCTAGCTGTAAACTACAGTACTTTATATACCTATATTCTTAATAAAAATAAAATCCATAAATCTTAAAAAGGAACTTTAAATGCAGGGCTATATCGAATTGGTAAACTGCAAGGCAAACTGGCGCAACATAGGTAAATGAATACCAACCTCACTCTATGTGATGCAAGCATGCTACTTTCCCACTAATTTAAATTACTTCCAATCACTATGAGCCAGAATGCATGCCTGAACCTTAAACTGCACTTTAAAACAATGTGTTGGCCTAGAAATTAAATCTAATGAAGTACAACCATGAAATTATATCCACTGTTTAATGTAAAATTAAGATGTCAACTTTAGTTTGATATGCCCAACCCCACCTATTCCTCCCTCCCTGCCCACCCCGCACAGGTAAAAGGAGTGACTCATTTGGCATTTCACAGGGTGCTTCGTTGTTCAAATTTGTTGTGTTTTATTTCCAACATCTTCTGGGGGTACTTTAAATTGTAATTTCCAAGAACCTGCTTCTACTATGGGAAGGCAAGCTGATTTTAACTTTATTAGCTTTGTGTAGTTCTTCATCAGCATGCAAAACACGACCCCATAATGTGGGAACATTTATATAAAAACCTTTAAATTAAAAAAAAAAAAAAGCTTCTTTACCATATGAAAACCCCCATTCTTAGGTTCCCTTTATTGTGCGCTACAGAATTTTTCCTCTTTCTTTTCCCTATGGATTATTTATATGGTTCTTGTTTTGGTACAATTCCCCATAATATTCCAGAATGTACTGTTTTGTGAGCAGACCGAATATTTTTTTTTTTTTTTTTTTTTTTGCTTCTTCACATTCAGTGCGGAGTTGTAATTGGAGACAGATTTCCACCCACAAAGGCTCCAGATGTTAAAACGATTCCCAACATCGACAGTGATGGCAACATCTCCCTCCCGCCCCTCCCAGTAGGGTTGGGATTGTACTGTATTCCCTACTGGTTTACCCTTCCCCCCTGTCAAGGGTAACATTTTCCCTGGGTACAGAGGCTCCCTCATAGTCTCCAAGACCGGAGGACCTGGAAGAAAAAGAACAAAACAATTTCATCTTTAACAACTGCCTATTTCTGAGCCAGTAGAGCATAAACTTAAATAACAATGCTATCTTTACCTATAAAAAAATAAGAAACTTGACAAACTGCCTAAGATTACAATAGCTATAACCATGGCACTTCTTCTTCTATGGCCGAATAGTCACCTCCATCAGATATGAAGAGAAAAGCTGAGATGAGGACACACCACTGGGTGTGCAGTGCTTTGTATAGAGGAAATATGCCTTATACAATGCCATCAGTCTAATTCTTTATACCGTTTTGAAAAACGAGTCCCTTAAGAACTAAGAACTCACAAGTCACTTTACTTTCTTCATAATTAAATAGCACTTTCTTTAGGACAATTAGTTTCTTTCCAGAAAAATTAAAACATTGCCCATTTTTCTAGGATACCAAATATTAAGTAAAGTAACACACTAGGGTCACCCCCTTCAGCAAATATCCAGAAGTAAATTTTAATACTCATCCTCCCAATGTTTCCAATTAGTTATTCTTCCAATCCTATTTCATTTGGTTATTTCCTATGCTCACAGCCCACTTGATTTTCCTTATATGGACTTCTTGCAAGGCAGGCGCCGGAACCACTGAGCTAAATCCCCAGCCCTATATGCACTTTTTTCAATTCTTTTTGGTACCAGGATTGAACTCGGGACCTTGCGCTTTTGAGGCAGGTGATGGAACCACTGAGCTAAACTCCCCACTTTTTTCAATTTTAATGGGAAGGATACCAAGAAATTAGGTAAGATTGATGGCTTACCTAATTACCTACTACTGATCCTTGTACAACAAAACCTTACTACCCACTCATGCCAAAGGGTGAACATCTGTGAATGTTTACGTGAATTCAGAGGGTGATTAGTATGTTCATGGAGGACAAGCAATCCCCTTTTCCCTGTCTCTAAAAAAGTGGAAGAGGAGTACAAAGAGGTAGGAATAAAAAGTATTGATACTATGCTAGAAAACTGAGAATTATTTCATACCTTGCCTCAGAACAGTGATCACTAACTAGTTAATTCATAATTGGTGATGGGACTACAGAGGCAACAAATTAAAAAATACTCAAGACTTAGCAGCTCACTCACTGTTGAACTTTAGAAGCTAAGCCATTCTTACCTACCTCATTCTCATGATTTAACAAAGTGTGAAATCAAGCACTTTTCAAAATGAAGCCACAGAACAGCTCTAAGAACTCAAGATTGAAACGAGAGAACACACACAAAGTGCCTGAGGTATTTCTGAGGCTGCAAATCCATTTCTACTGCCTCCTAGGTTACAGAACTTAAGATAGCGAAATACTCCTAGGTTTAAAATGCAGTAGAGATTAAATAAGCAGCAAGCAACTAAAAGCTCCCATGTAAAGTATGATTTAATTTGGTGTACATCTTCTACACACAAATTCAGCACACCTTCTGCCTTCCAGTTAAGTAGGTCATAAGCAATGTTCACAACCTAAAAAAATTTGTCAAAATCTTGGTCCACTATATTAGCCATGTTTGTAACATTTACTGACAATTCAGTGTGCTAGGCAATGTACTTGGTTTTGACATTGTGCACTAGAGTTTAAAACTGAAGTTAAGAGATCAGAATTACTCATCTTACTTAAGAATAGTGAACCTCAAGGAACAAGTGTCCAAGTGGTCTTAGTCCTGTTCCGAAATCAAAAGTGAATTTTTCATTAGTTATTTTTAAAACACAGTGCTGGGCACATTGCAGTGCTCAATGAAGTGTATGTTGAAGAATGAATGTTAAATGTATCTACTAAGCAAAACACAGTTTTTAGGGGCCCGGGGTTTAGCTCAGTGGTTTTGCCACCTGCTGCACAAGCTCAAGGACCCGAGTTCAATCCCTGGTACCAAAAAAACCAAAAAAACAAAAAAAACCCCACAGTTTTAATTCTAAAAGTTTTCTCTAAAGCTCACAACATACAAAGTCTTTGCTGTATCAGAGAATCATTTTTATCCCAGCACTGTGAATAATAACAATGTAGAACAAAACTCTTTAACCCCTCCCCCCCAAAAAAGTTGAAACAAAGTAATATACTAACCCGGATTTCTTCTTTCTTAGGACCAAGAAGGGAAACCATCTGTTTTACCTCACATAATGGTTCTTTAAACATACACTTTAGGCTTCTTGAGTGCTTTTAAAGTCTAATATAGTATGATATGAAACTATGTTTTATTCAACCTCTACAGAATGTAGCTGTTTATTTTATTTAACAGTTTTATTTATTTTTTTTTGTTTTGTTTTGTTACCAGCGATTGAACTCAGGTCCTTGCGCTTGCAAGGCAAGCGACAGAACCACTGAGCTAAATCCCAGGCCCCTTATTTAACAGTTTTAGACTAAAGTTGTAACTAAATTTCTTCATTCTGAAAATTCTCAAACTTCTTATAACTTACCCCTAATTTTGGGACTGCAGCCTAAGTATATTAGATTAAACACCATAAAAAGCTGCAAGACGCTCTTTTAAAGGAAGAGGAAACTGGTCGGAGAAACGCCTCCAATTTTCATCCCCAACTTGATTTTTAAATCCATGAAGGATCTGCAAATAGTGAAAACCATTAATTTATCAATGACAGAAGAGAAAAACCTCAAATTTGTATAGCTTCTGATATCAAACACTTTTGATTTTATTTTCTGGTTCATGGCTGCCAATACAGCTCCCTAATTTCAGTATTAGGTGATTCAAATGTGTAACTGTTTTATTTCTTACTCTGTTACAGCTCTACATGCTGACTGGAATTAATCAAAAGGGGATATTAATAGAGTAAAGAAAAATACAGACTCAATCCCTGTGGGAGACACTTAAGATTTACTGTGTTCAACAGTTTCATCTTATACTCCAAATCTCAATCATCCATCTTGGATCTGTAAGCAGAATAATGGAACCACACAATAAGTCAGTGGTACTGCTTGGTAAAGTATTTTCAAACTGTATCATCTTCTGATAAAGCCATTGCCATCTTTTCAAGAAAAGACCGAGCCACGATCTTTAGTAAAGAACAGAGATCGTCTAGTTCACAAATATTGGCCCGAGGAGCCAAAGTCTAAATTAAAATTAAATTATTAAAAATAACTCAAACTCTTAAACTAGGATTTTTAGTTCCAAGATACATCACAAAGACTTAGTAGTTACCTTACAGAACATGTCTCTGAGATCATCTTTTGGGTTAATCCATGATGCAACAGCATCACAAAAAAATATAAAATCCTATAACAAGAAGAAACACTGATTAGTATTTTACTGATCAAACTCATCAAAAGATAACATTAACCTCAACACTGATATAATGATAGACTCCTTAGTAAGAAAACCATTTAAAGCCAATTAAAATCTTAAGGAATTGAGTGACTATTTAATGGGTATTAGTCCACCATCAAGAAACTATACCGAATTTAATGTCCTATTGTATACTATAAAAGGAAATCCTTGTTGAGTAAATGAATGTTTAGCATCAGTAATGGATTGAAAGCACCAAGTCAACACCAATAAAAATACTTAATTTATTGCATTCAAGAATCTTAAATTCAGTAAAAATACAGTGCACACTGGCCTAGGAACAACATAAAAACTATATACTAAGAGCTTGATTAGAAATATATGAATAGTTCTAAATTTTATGATCCATATAGCTTAAATGAAATGTCCCAAAGCTAGAAGAAAAACTAATTACGAAGTTTTATAAATATCTCATCCAAATAACAAGAGTGAAAAACCCAACTCTCTCATATAATCACTTAACAGATAATCAGGTTATTCTGACTATAAAAACAATGTACTATACACTTTAAGTATTTCATAAAAATATTTCCTCATTCTTTTAAAAAGGTTTTTTTGGGCCGGGGATTTAGCTCAGTGGTTCTGGTGCCTGCTTCAAAAGCACAAGGACACAAGTTTGATCCCCGGTACCAAAAAAAAGGTTTTGTTTCTTTTTTGTTAACAGGAATTGAACCCAAGGCCTTGTGCTTCCTAGGCAGGCACTGCACCCCTGAGCAACATTCTCAGTCCCATTTTCTCAATCTTGACTTGTACTAAAATATTAACAATTCAACACACTGCTGATGTTTTGACACATCAACTACTTCAAACTGGTTCATTCTAATTATGATTTCCCATGTCTTCCACACTTCCAAATCTGACGCTAAAAATTTAAATACACAGAACACCTAATATTTATACAGGGGGTCTTGTATGTAGGAAAAATACAGGATAAAGGCCTCATTGAACTTTATTAAGATCAACAGGGAAACTTATTAAAAGCAGTTTCTGCCCTCACAAGTAGACTCTGCAGTTAAGATGATTAATTAGAAAGACAAAGGAGGTAAGAGTTGGCTAGACCTGGGAGAGGCACCTGGCAACACAATTATCAGGAAAGCCTGCTCCCCTCACCCACCTGACAAAACCAAGGGCAATAAGAGACAACCACCCAAGGACTCTTTAAAATGTAAGACACACATACACACACCTATACATATAAACATGTATGTTCTCACTTTAACATCACTATAATATTGCACTAGATATACATATGTACACATGTCCCCTTTAATCATTAAGTAAGCTGCCTTCCTAAAAAGCCCTCACCCTTCACTTAGAGTAAGCTGCCTTCCTATAAGTCCTCACCCTTCACTTATTACAAAGGTTCAGGAAGAAACCAAATGGGCAGAAGGTCTAGGTTAGGATCAAAGACAGTGAAGGGAACAGATCAGATATCGAAAAGTGCCCACCCGAGGGATGGGAAAGACACTAGTCCCCAATAAAAGAAGCCAAGGATAAGAGCTCATGGGCTTTCAGCTCTGAAGCCCCCTACCACCTCTCAGTAGTGCTCTATCCTCTTTCTTTTTCATCTTTCCCCCCCAAGTAAACCATCTTTGGTTATACTATGACCGTTTTTTTAGTTTTTTACTGGTGCTGGGTTTAGGACTGCTGGAAGCTGTGTTTTCAGCAGAGCAGTGGCATGGTGTGGCGAGTTGTCCACCCCTGGATGTAACATTTGTGATTAAAAAAAAAAAAAAAAGTAATTCAAAAAGAAAGAACCAACCAAACAGTTGGGTGTGGTGGTGTACCCCTGTAATCTCAGTATTCAGAAGGCTGAGGCAGGAGGATTGCCTTGAGTTAAGAGGTCACTCTAGGCATGTGGTTCAAGGCTAGCCTGAGCTGCATAGTGAGACCCTGTCTCGTAACAACAACAACAAAAAATCTGATGGGAAGATACTCATTTCAAAATATGGCCTATGTTATATCAGATACCTCAAAAATACATATGAAATGAAACAAAATTCTTCAAAACAGAAAGTTGATGCTAGGTTATTTTGCAACTACGATTTTTCCTCTTAAAGTAAAGTAGTCCTGGTTTGTCTGACATCAAGTAATTAATGTTTTTATCATTGTGAAATTAGTCAACAGGTTCCTTTTCAGTTCTAATTTGTGTGTTTTCCATGCCTATCACTGTCTAATTTTTTTTTTTTTTGGTACCGGGGATCGAACTTGGGACCTTGCCCTTCCAAGGCAGGCAGCGGAACCACTGAGCTAAATCCCCAGCCCACTGTCTAATTTTTTAAGCTAATAATTTGCTTCTAAAAATGAGTCAACAAAACCCACAATAATATAATTATCAAGATTCCAGCTCAGGATTTAGCTCAGTGGTTCCACCTCCTGCCTCGCAAGTACAAGGTTCCGAGTTCAATCCCAGGTACCAAAAAAATTAAAAAAACAAGATTCCAATTTAAAACAATGTTCAAAGTACCTTTCTTTTTCTGAAATGAGGTTATTTTCTTGAAAATAAATGCAGAAGTTATTGCCATAAAAGCATTTTATAGTTTTATTCAAGAGCTCATCTGTAAATATAAAAATTATTTTTGCGTAATCTCACACAATTCCTAATTGATTTCATATGCCTTGGGTGTTTTGTAATCTATATGTTTCCATTCTATCTTTTTCTTTCCTTACAGTTTATCTACTGAAGAACACAAGTATTAAGTTTAGGGTCTTTTTGGTTTTTGGACACACAAGGTGCACTTCAACATTCTTCTGTTTTATGTATCTAGTAAATTTCCATTTGAATCCACAAGTTTGACTTGATTCATGTCCATACAGTTGTCAAATAACTAAAATGCCTAAATATAACATGAATTTTGGAAACAAAATAAAGGAATAAACGATAAAATCTCAAAACTAAGGCAATTTCAATGGCTGACTTAATCCATTTACATTTCAAAGTTTGATTTCTGCAAAAAGTGACAGAAGGATAGTATTTGGTCACTCTCTTAAGTACAGGTATGTCATCAGAAAATTAATGTTCCTTGATGGAGAGCATGATGTACAAAGTAAATAAATAAGGTCTGCATGTGGCTAAAAAAAGCCCTGGCTTTTCTAAGAATATGATCTTAACTCCGAATATGTTGTTACTATCTAATGACAAACAGGCATTATTACTTCAAGATAACTAGGAAATATACAACACTGTACATGTATAATTTAATATATTTGAAAAAAATTAATGTTTTTGTAAAGTCTTAAAATATTTCCCTTATAATTTTATTATTCAAAACAGTACTAGTTAAAAACAAATCCCTACAAACGCCTTACTTGGATTACGCCACTGGGATTCACACTGATCATGGTACAAATCCCACGGAATGCTGAATCCTTTTCCTCATTGTCTCTTATGTTTCTCAGAGAGGTACACCTATTGAATTATACAAGTGAGTTTAGCATTTAAGTAAAAAGCAGGTTCAATTACAATACTAGTAGACAGTATTTAATGGAATAAGCACAATATAGATAATACATATATTAAACAAGAGTTTTCAGAAAGTTTCACTTTCTTATACTTCTTGAATGCTGGGCCCAACTTATCACAATTTGGTGGAAACAGTGAAATTCACATTGTCTTAAGAGATTACATCTATAATAGTGGACAGCTGATTTGACTTTCTCATTTAAACTATTAAGCCAAGAAAAATAAATTATCAAATTAATTTTAAAAATTGTATTATGACTTGTATTCCATTAAACACTACTAAAAATGATTTGAATTGAAAGTTTATCAATTGAAAGAAGCAGAACACAGGATATACTGCCACAATATAAACTATTACTATACAACTTATGGTGTAAATGTTTAACTTTTACATTAACAAGCAAATAAGATATTATACATAACAAATTTAAATGTCTTTAATGCAATCCAAGTGTCCAAATTAATTCTAAAAAAGAAACGTAATGCAAAAAACCTAAATTTATAAAACTTGCATGCATCTTAATTTTTCTGGTGGATATTTAAATGCTTTTTATGTATAATCAAGCTTTTTAACACAGCAAGCATGTGACAATCTTATCCCATGCATCAATTAGTCGTTAGCCACAACATAAAATAAATATACATGACGATGCTACTGAAAAACCTCACGAACCTGATAGGACAAGATTAGTCACATGGTTGGCAATGATTAAGGATTGTGATTTTTGTAACCAACTGAAAATATATCTAAAAGTGAGATAGAGAAAGAAAGAGTGAAGAAAAATGAATTAAAAAAAAAGATTGAATAATACACACCAGGGTCTTATAAACTGCTGTAGCATGGGGGCCACCTCTTGAGGACAAACGTAACCAAGACGACCAATTGTTATTGCTAAGGTAACGCAATCACGGTTATACACCACCAAACGCCAACCAAGACATGAGCAAATGAGGGGGAAGGAGAAAAAATAAAGAAAAAACAACAAATAACTCAGAAACAGAAACCAACAGAATTTGTGTATGATAATAAACATAAGATTTCACCAGTGCTGTTTATTACCACCCCCTAAAACAAGGGGCAGCAACATATATGGCATACTCTTGGAAAAAGAAAAACAAAAGGAATTAAAAAAAACTCTGAAGATTGAGAGAACACCAAAAACCATGATAAATTGCTTTCCTCACTCAATCAAGTGTCAAATATTCTGTTAATAAAAAGATGAGCGATTAAAATGAGTGGATTTAGAGAATCTTCATTCAAAGCCAGTCAAAATTTCAGAATTTAATATGTTTAGTTTTTCTCCCAAGAATTATCAATAAATGTGATTATATTTATGAATTGGCTATTTAAACACATTACTTATGTACCTATAACAGTTCAAATTTTATCTTTCACTTTCCTACATCTTTTTGGTTTTTTGAGAGAGGGTCTCACTATGTAGTTCAAGGTGATTCTCCTGACTTAGCCTCCTGAGTCTGGGATTACAGAGGTGTGCCACCATGCCCGGCAGACTATACCTCTTTTTATAAGTGATTTGATTCTTTGAAAATTATCTAGGGAAATTAATCCAAATTGATTGTTCAACATTTTGAGTTAACATTTCCCAAACACACCAGAGAACATTTGTTGCCTGATTTCAAAATCAAATTGTCAGATTTCAAGTATTATGTCATTCACTGAACGGATTGGAAAATTGCTCTGCTATGACAAATCCCATTCCAACCAACCTTGTAACTCAGATGACAGTCCACTAATTTCAAACCATATCTGAAATAAAATTCTAATAAAGGAAATTTAGACGGTCCACTGTAATGACATTGTGGACCATAGGAAAAAATAGTCCATCTTTATTATAAAAGGTGTAACACAAAATAAATAATACATCATACTGATTACATGCTAATACTTGATTTTTAAAAATTGTGAAGTGGACAAACATTCACCATCAAAATGCAAGAACTCCTTAAACTTACAAAGAGCTGAAAACAAGTGCTACTCAGAACTGCATTCTGCAATTCAAAAGTACATACATATAAATACATTTATACACAAAGGGGAAAAATACAAACAGAAAACAAACCATGAGGTGCTTTAATGGTGTTCTCTCAAAAACTTACAATTTAACCTATCATAAAAAAGGGTGGGGGGGATAAAGAAAAATGTTTAAGGATTACTTGAAGCAAACTACACAGATAATACTAAAATTCAGCAGATTCATATGAAGCCAGAGAAAGAAAACCTATGTTCAAAAGACACAAACTATGCAACATTCTCATTAAACAGGCAAGTATGAACAATCCAATGAAACATGCGATAAAGCAGATGACGGTCCATTGAAAAAGTTCAGTGTAGGATATACTAATTGGGAAAAAAGTAAGTAACATTCTAAAGAATTGGCTTTACAAAAAAATTAAGATAATGGATATTGAGTTGCTAAAATCGACAATCAGTGACTTTAATAATTAAAGAGCCCCATTTTGGAGGATAAGGAATAAAGAGCATTATACACAGACACTTGTGGCAAAAGAAATTTAATGAGCCCAAGTGCGTTTATCAATCTGATTCAGTCTATAAACTTGTAGAGCATTATCAACTATTTTATTTACTTACTTATAGTTATACTCAGTATAATCTTATAAATGAAGCCAATCTGTTAGGGGAACTATAACATTCACCAGTTGATATCCCACAAGAAACTTTAATATACATTACACTCAACATTTATTTGTAGTTATGCATTCACATTTAAAAATAAATAGGACGTTTTCTTTAGGCTCAACAATAATTTTACAATGGCCAAGTATTTCAAATCTGAATGTTATGTATAGGTACTGTGTCCTAAGGAGACAAAAATCTTACAAGATTTCATAACTATCCTATACGTAGACTTTTATACTTTCAACAAGAAAATCTAATTCACTTTGTGAAGTAAACAGTACCCATACACCTAAACAGCCAGATAATGGTTTCATAATTTAAAAGATTTCCTTCCATACCAATAAACATTATCAATTTTAATCTATTAGGGAAAAATAGATTCTATAATTTAAAAATACCAAATTAAAATGCCCCTGAAAACAAACTTTCTTATTTGGAAATCTTCATTTTAATCTTTCTCCAGTATTTTGGTAAGACCCTCATTGACTATGAATAAATTACTAGAATTATTTTAGTACAAAAAGAAAGGAATATGCTTCAATGAAAACAATTAAACAAAACATTAGCAATAGTCAGGGAGGATGGAAAGACAAGACTCAATCACTCCTATATGTGTTCTATAGTATGGAAGGTATTCTTTAATATAAACATGCTCTCTATAAATGCAAAAGAGAAACAAGCTTCCTAAGTAAAAAATCCTGCAGGGAACTGTTAAATTCCCAATTATGGAAAAATTTATGATAAAATACAAAATATGTGTCATTATTGAGCAATTTAGTCACTAAACTACAATCTATTTTTGGCTGGGGGTGGGAGATGGGGGCGGAACGGGACATGGACCAGAGACTGAACCCAAAGCCTCCCTAAGTTGCTAAGCTGTCCAGGCTGGGTCAGAACTTGTGATCCTCCTGCCTCAGTCTCCAAAGAGTGCTGGGGTTTCAGGCATGTACCAACATGCCTGGCTTGGCCATATTTCACACCCTAAAAATCATTATTTCTCACCTTCCAATTATTCTCTAAATTAACTGAAAAAGCAAAATTTCTGTTTCAATGGTTCGCTTAGCTAGAATCCATTTTAGCAAGTATTAAAACACAGGAATGTGGAAAAAAGGGTTTTCCAAATGTTTATTACAACTGGTTATGGGATGTAACTAAAATAATGTATTTCATTAATGAGAACCCAAAACAGATGTTAATAAGTTGGGTTTTTAAACTAGCATTGCTTTGGTTTCTCTACGCATCTTAATTTAAAATGAAAGACAATTAATTTTCTGATCACTGTTAACAGTTCAGACATATGGTACCTGTATTCTCCAACAACGTCTTTGGTGCGTTGGGTCTGTTAATGATTTCTACAAGCTGGTGCAACACCATAGGAATATAAGGCTGCATCTCTATACCTACATCATTCCACAAAAAGAGAAAACAAGAAAGAAAAAAATTAAATGTCAAAACATGGGCATAATACATTTTGGTTTCCTCATTCACTGTGGCATAAATCATACACACACACACACACACACACACACACACACACACACATATATGAAAACAAAAAGCAAATGAAAAAATATGAAAATATCAAGGCTCTTATACTTTTTCAGGGTAAAAAAAAAAAAAAACCTTACCCATTTGAATGGAAATTTCTCCAATTGCCCATGTGGCATTGTTGCAGACTGAAATGAACTCTGGATTTAGATTGGTTCCCAATATTGGCATAAAATCAGCTAAGGAAAAAAAAAAGTTAAGATTATGTGGTAAACTTCTCAACAGCAGTCTCTATTGCACGTCAAAGGAAATCTACTAGGTAGAAAGTAAATCTAGGCAGGAAATACTAAATTTTACCAAACACTGGAACAACAATTACAGAACCATGAAAAATATGTAACTATGTAGTATCTTTTAAAGGAGTTGGTAATATTTATCTTAAGAAACCAAAGGAGGTAATATCTGGCCAAGAAAGTTTGTGATAAGGAAACATCAGTTTGGGAATATATTAGGTATCTTTACGAAGAGTTGGTCAGATTAATCTCTCATCATTGAACTAAGAAAATTCAAATTAGAAGTGGGGAACACAAGCCAGGAGAGGTGGCACATACTTGAAATCTTAATTTCTCAGGAGGCTAAGGCAGGAAGACTGCAAGTTCAAGGGCTACCCTGGGCAACTTAGCAAGACGCAGTCTCAAAATAACAAAAAATTTAAAAGGGGAAGGACTGTTGTGTGAGGCCCTAGGTTTAATCCCCAGTGCTGGAAAAAGAGAAACAAAACAAAACAAAACACAACAAAAAGGGAGAAAATAAAATGTCATTTTCTTCTAAGCTAGTTTTTTGTATAGTGATTTTAGTCTTTTGTTTTTGGTGTAGTACGAAGGATTGAACCCAGTGCTCTACAAGGGCCGGGGATTTAGCTCAGTGGTTCTGCCACCTGCCTCACAAGTGCAAGGACCCAAGTTCGATCTCCAGTACCAAAAAAAAAAAAAAAAAATTTATCAAGGCAGGGTCTCAGTTGCCCATTCTGATCTTAAATTTGTGATTCCCCCGACCATATCCTCCCAATGTAATTGTGGTTTTTAAAGCAACTTCCACCCTACTGTTCAGATGTGATCTTCAAGTATCATTTTCCATTAAAAGGTACAAGGGGCTCTCAGAGAAATGCCTCATTAAAGAGTAAGACACGAAAGGTTTAAAACAAACCTGGACTATCCTGCTATAACAGAAGGGACTCAGGACTCAACCTGATTAAAGTGCCACTGCCAGCAGAAAGATCACTTAACTATCAAATTCAAAAAACAAACACAAATTAAACTCTGAAATACAAAAGCTATCTTTGGAGGATGCTGGGTATCAACATAATATTTTGAAAACTGGTAAATAAAGGGAAAGAATCAAGTAATTATCTTGCAACTATTTTATGATTTGTACTTCGATAACAATTTATTGATATGCGAAATCTCTTATACAATATATTTACCATTAAATGAAGAATTAGAATGTCATACATTTTTATTTTGTTTTGTTTTGGTGCCAGGGATTGAACTCAGGACCTTGCGCTTGCAAAGCAGGCGGCGGAACCACTGAGCTAAATCCTCAGCCCATAGAATGTCATACATTTTTAACTCCTAATAAATTAGTGGACTGGTATGGTTTGACCCTTCTCATTCATGTTAAAATTTAATGGCCACTGTGGCACTATTAAGAGGTGGATTAGATCATGAGGGCTTTGGAAGGATGCTTAGCTCTAGATTATAGAATATTAAACACCACTGTCTACCAAATGAACATTAGTATCTCACCAATGTTTAAAAAAAACCCCACACAAATCTATAGACACTGACAAATGTTTCCACAGAGCAAAACTATTCCCAGTTAAGAACAATCCAGACAATAACATCATGGTTGATAACATTTACGAGAAAAAAAACCAAGCCACAACACAAAAAGCACTAAAGCCACCATGATACCATTTAAATTCCTAGAGAAAGTACACAATCTCATCTATAAATCTGTAAGAAAACAAAATAAAACTGGAATCTCATTAACCTTCAGTCTCTATAGAGTTGACAAGTACACTACAAAGGACCAAGGAACATGCTTAAATGACACTAGAGATACAATCAGTAAAATCCACTAAGAAACTCTAGGACAAAAAAAAAATTTTTTTTTTTGTTAACAACAAAAAACAATTGTTAAAAAGAGATTTGAAGATATGTACTCAATATCAGAAGTTTAAAACTGGAAACTTCGTGTCTATTGCTATTGGTATATGAGAAACATGATTTATAACATACTGACAACACTTAAAGCTAGAAATCAGGGCTGTTACATTTTTTCTATTATTATGTTTTTAAACATTTTTTGAACAAAATGTTAAAATTTAAATCCTTTCATATAAATTTAATGAATCAGAAACTATAAATTGCAGGCAAGGGATTTAGCTCAGTGGTTCCATTGCCTGCCTCGAAAGCGCAAGGTCCCGAGTTTGATCCCCAGTACCAAAAAAAAAGAAACTATAAATTGGGAGTGGTGGTGATACAGGCCTACAATCCTAGCTACTTGGGGGGATGAGGCAGGAGGATAACAAATTTGAGGTCAGCCTAGATAACTTAGTGAGCTCTCATTAAAAAAAAGAACGATAGGCTGGGGATGTATGTAGCTCAGTGATAGAACGCTTGCCTAGCATGTTACAAATCCTGAGTTCTATCTCCAACATTGCCAAACCCTTCAAAAAAACAAATCACACAAAACAACCCCAGAAACTACAATTACGTGGTAAATATTTGTATTACCAACATCTCACAAATTCTTTTTACTTTCAGAGTAGTTAAGACTTAAAATTGAATAACTCAATATATCTATGTTACTGCTCAAAATCTGGAAATAATTTATTCTAAAGCACAATTATGTCAAATGAAAATCATTTGTCCATGTTTTAAATCAAGGCTTAAGTAAAATATTGTAAATAAATGCCACCAAACATGTTGAGGTATAGGAAGGAAAACACCCCCAAAACATTTACCATAAAGGTTGGAAAGCATTCAGGTTATGATGTTCAAGGAATCACTTATGCCATTAGAACAGAAAACAAATCATCATATATTTTAAAGGTGATATGTGAAGTTTCCTATGGTACCTGAAAAGTATGCTGGTATATTAGAAAAGAAACCCTAACTACAGTGGTACCTGGGTTCAAAAACTTAATTCGTTCCACGATTCTGGAAAAGATGGCCAAGTTCATGTTCATGTAGGAAAGATGGCAGCAGTCATGTTCATCACCCAAGGCAGAGTTCACAAATAACAAAAATTTGCCAAACATTTCTGTTTGCAAACCAAATTGTCTGCAAACAAAAGGGTTCGTGAATCAAGGCACCATTGTATTAGTATTCTGGGGCACCTCTATCAAAAGGAAGGCTACCCTTCAAAGTATTTACTAGCACATAATATATCCAGGTTTCACTGGTGGGCATGTCCTATACTCTAAGCTGGTACCATTTAAATTTCCTCCAGCCACAGGCCTGCCTTAGGGTGCTGAAGTGATGGTGAGCTCAAGGAAACAACATGGATTCCTCACCTCCTGCCTGCTTCAATCAGAGCAGCTTAACTTTTAACTTGCCATAAATTATAAATGCTGAGATTCCATGAAATTTATTTTTAATAAAACAATAGAAATCAGATGTAAAAATAATTTTAAACCACACCAATAGCAGAAAATATTCGTACCTATAAAAGGCTTAACATGCTGAAAGCAAGCTTTAGTCAGGTCACCTAATAGTGCAAATGAACTCTGTCGAACTTCTGGCATTTTATCCTACAAGAAATAAGAAGAAGTTAACCCCAAAGTGACACAGAGAACCAAGTTTCAATTCACTTTAACTTTACAAGTCTCACCTGCATGCACTGATACATTAATGTTAGGATGTTACTTCGGGCTACCAGCTGTTCAATGTTGCCTCCAAGTCCTTCAGCTAGGCCACTGAGTAAATCAAGAGCTACGATCATAAAATCTTTATCTGGAGCCTCATATTGATCTGGTTGAGCATTGTTTAGCTGAAATTAAACAATATTTTTGCTTTTAATTGGTTACTGAAAAAGTTTGGATACATTATGCATTATATTTAGAGAAATGTGATGTAGGAAGGGAAAGATATTTAAAAAAAAAATACCATAGCTTGTGCAAGAGTCTTCTGTACTAGGTTTACACAACGCTGATACACAGGTTCACAGTATGGCAGGAAGCCAGACTGCAGGGCTGTGGCAACTGAAGATAGGCACTAGAAAGAATAAAGCACACACACTGTATTTTCTGAGCATGTTTAACATTGTGATAAATGCTTCAAACTACTCAAAAAGATCCTGGTCATTTATGAGTCAACTCTACTAGTCTACAGTAGCAGATCTGTCTTTTCAAACCTCTCCTTTGGCTGTCTATACTCATTGTTGACACCCTGCCAGTTAATCAGAAGTTTACTCAGAAAAAAGGTAAGACAGTTTCTATAGTGAGTTTTATCCTTCAAGGGCACATTATTGTATGTTCATATTTTTTGCTCAAATTTAAGTGATATATTTATTCATGTTACCATATTAGTCAATGAAACAGATGAACTTTGTGGGGACATTCTGAGTCTTTGCTTGAAAGTAATACATATACTGAACATGTACAGATTTCTCCCTAAACAATACTATGTAACGGCTATTTACATTAAAGAAGGAATTATAAGTAATCTAGAGAGGATTTAAAATATACAGGTGGATATGTACAGGTTATATGCAAATATAGTACCACTTTATATAAAGAACTTGAGCACCCACAGATGTGTATGGGGAGGGGACCTGGAACCAATCCCCATACTAAGGGCTGTCATATATAGAATGAGCCATAATGATTATTGTTTTGTTGGACCAAAAATTAACCACTGCTCTTAGTCTCAGAAGGTTTCACTTCTCTGCCTAGAGAGAGAATCCATGGCAAAAGTAGATGATCCTTAAAATAATCAGGGGAACAAGAATGTAAAGGACTGAATTTGCTCTATCAATGTCAAATTAACTTGGTTTAAGTTACTACACTTTGTATTAAAAATCACATTACATTTCTTTTTGGGTTAAAAAATACCCCTAAGTAAGGCCGGGGATTTAGCTCAGTGGTTTCTCCACCTGCTGCGCAAGTGCAAGGACCTGAGTTCAATCCCTGGTACGAAAAAAAAAAGTACCCCTAAGTGGGCCAGGGATTTAGCTCAGTGGCACTGCACCTGCCTTGCAAGCACAAGGTCCTGAGGTTCGATCCCCGGTACCAAAAAAAAAAGGCAAAAAAAAACCCTAAGCATACACACAAAATAATTCAAATTAGAAAGTAAATGTACAAAGTGAAGTCCCTCCTTACTGGTACCATTGCTACTTCACATGTATGTGCACAGGCAAGATAGAATAAGTAATGTATAAAAGAATTTAAAATATGACATAAATACAGTAGGTATGACTACAGGTGTGCACCATTATGCCTGGCTCTGATGTACTCTAAAGTATCATGTTAAATTTATTCAACATTTCAATAGAAATAGGTCTATCAACTTATCAAGACTATTCATTACATACAATCATTCTGGATTAGAACCTGTGCTTCTGAATAAATACATTGTCAAAGTAAGTACTACCAGCCCAGCATACCTCAAGTAAAGGGAAGAGATCTTTATCTTCATCCTTTAACATGTTCCATTTCTGGATCAGTGGAGGCATTAGCATCTGAATATATTCCTATTTACAATGACGAAAAACATATAAAGCTCCACTATCATATGTAAATAAGTCCATTTTGAGTCTATGAAAATTAAAATCCATTTAGAGCAATTGTGTAAAATCATTAAAGAAGGTATTTTAAGATTCATTTCTCGGTCTACACAGACCTTGTGAAAATTTTCTTTTGACTAACTTTCAATTTACCTCATTTTAAAATCATTTTCTCTTTTTGGAAATACAATGTATATCAATAAAACACATCACTGTATCAAAGCACACTACTTGTTAAAACACAATCAATGCATATTTAAGGTTTATCCTCTAATGACATTTTTAATCCATTCCCTTTTTATAGGTGCTATTACTACAGGCAAGGTATAGAACTCCTCTACCATTAAGCATGTTGATCTATTACCTCAATCTGTAATTGTTTTACAGTGTACTTCCCATATCTGTACACTCTGGGGAGAAAACAAAATAAATGTAAAGGAACAATGTTTCTGAAGTAGTAGCTATAAGAACACTTGGAATTAAGAAATGCGGAGTATAAAAACTTTTTAATTCCCTTTCCTCTACATACTCTAAAAAAAAATTGAGTTGGTGCAATGATATGATGATATAATTCTGACACTAAGTAAATGCTTATTTTTAAAATACTGTTTGCATGCGGATACACTTGCTGATTTGTTCTTACTTTCAGTGCTGGGTAGAAACTCAGGGCCTCAAACATACTAGGCAAGAGTTCTAGCACTGAGGCATGCCCTCAGCCTCCACTTGCTGCTTTTTTAAGATCTATATTCTTAATGTAGCAAAAACTGTTCATATCTCACCAAGTGCTGTTTCCAAGTAAATGCTAATCTATCGAGTACTGCTTATGGTGTGTATTTTTCCCCACAATAGTTGTTCATAGATACTTACTGGTTTGTTTAAATGATGTCCAACTGAATCTGCTAATGTTCCTATGGCATCATAAAGAATGAGCAGGTTCTTATGCTGGTATTTACTAAATGCAAAGACCAGAGTATCAAGTATATATGCAAGATAAGGAACAAGTTCTGTACAAGCCTCCTCCTCTAGAGTAGCAAAGGCACTAAAATTAAAACAAAAGAATATTACTATTGCATAAAAGAGCTTATAATAGGAAATTAAATCTATTGCTTATAATACATCTCTTTATGCATTCCTTGCCTTCTATCAGATGCTTATTTTTATTTTCTTCAACATTTCTTATGATTTCTTCCTTTCCAAGAGACTGTCACCCATGGCCATTTGCTTAACTATGAAGGTAAGATTGAAAACTATAAAAGTTCTTGGTTCTATTTACTCATTCAACATGTTTGGTGCTTACTACTTATGTAGTACTGAGTACTGAATATAGCAATGAACAGAACAATGTATCCATTTTCAGGGAGGTTGGATTTTTCTGATTAATGAAGTTAGAATTAAAACTGTATGTTTCACTTTACACTTTATTCTTCATATGCAGATCAAGGGTTACAAAAAGCCAATAGAAACATTCTAATGTGAATATGTTTAAGATGTGTAAGAACACAGCACTACCACTACTCACCTTAAAGTCCACAGTATATTTGTTACTACAAGTATGTGTTATATATAACTATTACGACAAATGTATAAACAAATGATGAAGCTATAGCACCTCAGTACAATTAATCTGAGACCTAAATTTGTCTTATTAACATTTATCTTGTTTCATTCAATTTGGAATCTTCCTAAAATGACAGGGTTAAGCCATAAGTTAGTGAAAAATCCTAATTGTTAGCACTCTGAACTATTTATGCATTTCTTTCATAGCACTTGCCATAAATGATACCATATTGTTTTTCAGTATTTTCTGGGAGCCTTAAGTTTCAAGATGGCAGGTAGTATTAGCCCAACTTAATAGCTTAAAACCCCACACTTAATAAGCTTAAAAAAATGCTGAATGAATAAACTATAAGAAATCAAATACAATCTATCCTCCCCAACCTTAAAAAAAGATTTAGTGTAATTAATCACTATAAATGCTTGTTAAACTTCTTTCTAGCACATCAAAAATTAGAACTCTTGGGGCCAGGGATTTAGCTCAGCGGTTTTGCAGCCTGCTGCACAAGCGCAAGGACCCGAGTTCAATCCCCAGTACCAAAAAAAATTAGGACTCTTTGACATTATTCTTTTAGATCTAGTAAGGGTCAACTCAAATTTACTTTCTATTTTAAAATTATTTCTTCCTATTGAAAAAGTTAGTGGCAAACCCAATTATACTTGGGAAAGTGACAGATATAAATGTGAGTGGCAAGCTCTTTTAGTACCTAAGTTTGTCCCAGGAAACAAACTTTGAATGCAACTATAGGTCTGATATAACCCTAAATCCAACTAAAGCAGATCCACAAAGCACTAAGAGTCATAGCTGTTAAGTTATCAACCGCAGGTCTAAAGACCTTTCTGTGGAGTTATGGTAGTTACTGTGTAGATTACGGTGCAAATCTACTCAAACTTAGTTATTCCTTCAAAAGAAGCTCTACTACCATCATTTCAATTGTCTAAAAGAATGAGGGTCAAAGACAATTCTACTTTTAGAGTCACTGAGATGAAAAAGAATGAGCTGAAGAAGAAAAGCAAACACCTGCTTATTTAGGGTTACATTTTGATTCAGGTAAAAACTGTAAGTAAAAATTTCCCAACCAAACAAAATGTATAAAATACGATAATGTGCAAATCCCAAAGCTACAGGCCAACTTCACCAAGAAAAAGCAAGAAAAATTAAACTTACTGTATCGCTTCTAAGGTTTTTTTTGTTGTTGTTGTTATGAAATACTCCGCAAACAGTTTAATATCAACATTCTATTACAAGGCTGAAAATCAGTCTCTCACTAAATTACCAGCTCTCACAATGAACACCATGTTGGGAATTTGACCCACCTGCAGGCAGCTTCTTGTACTCTCTTGTTGCTATCCAAGATACGCTTTAGCAACTCTGTCATTAATGGCTTTAGGTATGTGTCCGGTGGCTGGCTGACTACCCAGTGTGCATAGCGACTAAGAGTCCAGCATGTTATGGAACGCACAAGAGCCTTTTTATCAGAGAGGCACTGAATAAGGTGAGGAATGAGCTCAGGCAGGTATGGAATCATACCCTGCATGCAACCTAAAACAACAAAAGTCTTTCAAAAAGTGCTAAATTTAGTTAAAACAAAATCATTTCATTTGAATATGGAAATGATACATATATCCATGGAAAATCTGTATTTTCACTGCTATAAATATGATCGCCTATAGCACTAGCTGCTCATAAATATAGCAGCAAAGATACTGTATTTACCTTTGCTACAAAAATAATGGGCTTCAGAAATGCCTGTAAAATGTTTCAATTTCTCATAGGCAGATGTTTGCAACCAAAACAGAAAAATGATTCTTTGATGACACACTTGTTTTATCACATTTCCTAAACTTACCTAAGAAATAAAATTGTTTTTCTAGTAATGAGGATGCTTCAGATATCAAGAGTCCTCAGATTCTGTTCCCTTTAAGAAAAACATTTGCAAAATATCTGGCTGAGGTTAAAAATAAACCTATGACTGTTTAATAGTTAAACTACTTCAAAGTAAAATGTTACTGTAAGATGGTGCTTGTATCCAATCATCCCTTTTAAAGTTAATATGGACACAGTCCTGTCTATCCCACACTGATATTACAAGACAGCAATGTAGTATGGAATTCAGAGGAAAGAGTCTTGGGTTACTGAGTAACAACTGCTTAACATAGCCTAGCCTTATTAGCACCTATAAAATGGACTTAACCCGGACTTACCTTCAGCAATTGCTCCTAAAACCAAGATGCCCGATTCTTTAACAACCCATTCATGATGAAAAAGTAATTCTTTCAAAAGAGGCAAAATATGTGGCAAGAGCTCATCACGATAAACATTTGCAAGAACATCTAGGGCAGCAGCAGAACATTTTCCTAAGGAGATATTTAATTTAAAAATGTTACACTAATCTCAATTATCTTTTAATTATATATTTAAAAAGTATTTATTGTATGTATAATGCTTTATAGATATAGGGAGATATTAAATAGGATAGTCATGAAAAATTCCATTAGATAGGATACATTTTTATGACAAAAAAATTATTAAGACATTCTGTTCTGTCATACTGAATAGTACAGCAACAGAAGAAAATCTGTACTGACACAGAGTGAGGTATATGACATACAATACAGAATCTGATTTTATTTTGGGAAATTCAGCCTCACCTTTTCTTTAAAAAGACATAGACATGGGGCCGGGGATTTAGCTCAGTGGTTTCACCGCCTGCTGCGCAAACACAAGGACCCGAGTTCAATCCCCGGTACCAAAAAAAAAAAAAAGACATAGACATGTTTTTCAATACATACAAAGAAAAGCTTCTGGGAGGATATAAAGATGTGTAGGATGTGAAGAGGTGTTTCCTTCCTCTCTTCAATGTACATTATTGTTTTTGAAGAGTTAACCAACCATATTTCAATCTCAATATAGCCTGCCCTTCTCAATTGAACAGCAGGGATGTAAGGCAAATCAATCTGTGACTACAGTAAAGATCTTGAACTGTCCTACTGAAGGAGACTCGGGTTCCAATGCTGGATGTGTTGTCAGTACTAGCTACGCTAGCTAATTTTGGGCAAGATTCTCTTTTTGCCATTTCTTTTGTTTGTTTGTTTTTTTGTTTTTGTTTTTAGGTACCAGGGATCGAATGCGGATCTTTGCGCTTGCATAGCAGGCAGCAAAACCACTGAGCTAAATCCCCGGGCCTTTTTGCCATTTCTTTACCTACCTAAGATGCTGGAAAGATTAAATGTAACATGGGCCAGGGATTTAGCTCAGTGGCACTGCGCCTGCCTGGCAAGCACAAGGTCCTAAATTCAATCCCCAGTATGGGGATTAAATGTAACATGAATGCAAAGTCACACAGTCTAGTGCTAAGCACATTAGTCACTCTAAGTAAAATGTTAGCCATAAGACGAAATAGCCAACAGAATTAATATTATCTAAAAACAGAAAAACACACTCCTGGCTGTTTTATGTCCCTAACCATTTAACAATTATTACAACATCTTGAGCTAAAAAGAAAATTGGCATTCTTTACTAGAGGTGACTTTGTTCCCTCAGGGTCATCTGGCAATGTCTGGAGACATACTTGTGTCCACTACTGGCATTCTGGGCAGAAGACAGGGATGCTGTTCAATAACCTACAGTGTACAGGACAGGCCCCACAAGAATAATTTTTTTTGGCCCAAAATGCCAACAGTGCTAAGAGTGACAAAATTTTAAAAACCAGTAAGCAAGCAAAAGCAAAACAAAGAGTCATAGGTTCCTTCCTCTATAATTAAGAGTGTGGGTCAGATGGTCAGCTAGGTGATGTGAATTTGCAGCTAAAGCTGAAAATTAAGATTTTTTTAAAAAAAGCATACATTTTATGTTTTGAATATAACAATTTATATTATTTTAGAATTATCTAATAACCAGTCGAATCTCATGCAAAATAGCACATACAAAAACTTAGGAAACAGGAAAAGTTTGTGGCTACATTTGTATTTTATTCTATTAACACACAATCTTAGCAGGTCCCCAGTGACAGGCAAAACAAAATCACAATGGCATCCCTTCACATTCACTGTAAGGCGTACCATGAAAGAGATTTAGTAACAAGTATCAGAGGAGAAACTGAAACTGTAAGACAATCCAGGTGACAAGGTAAAATGGCATAGCCATTCTGGAATACATTCCGATAGCTCTTCAAAAAGTTTGAACAGTTAGTTACCATACGATTCTGCGATCTCATTCCTAAGTACACATCGAAGAGAAGTGAAAGTATGTGTCTACACAAAACTTTTACATTAATACTCAACAACAGCCAAAATAAAGAAACAACACAAACATACATTAATTGATGTGTGGAAAAAGATCTGCTGTGCTAATACAGTGGAATATTATTTAACAATAAAAAATAAAGTACTGATATATGTTAAAACACAGATGAACCACAGGCAAGGTGGTGCACACCCGTAAGCCCAGCACTTAGGAGACTGAGGCAAGAAGACTGCTGCAAGTTCAAGGTCAGCTGGGGTTATATAATAAGACCCTGTCACAACCAACCAACCAACCAACCAAAAAGGATGAATCCTGAAAACCTTGAGACTATGAAAAAAGACAGTCTTAAAAGACCATTCCATTTATATAAAATGTCTAAAAAGAGGGCCAGGGATTTAGCCCAGTGTCACTGCACCTACCTCGCAAGTGCAAGGTCCTGAGTTCAATCCCCAGTACCAAAAAATAAAATAAAAAATAAAACTGTCTAGAAAGAGTCAAATACATAAGACACAAAATACAGATTAGTAGTTATACTGGGTTGGGGAAAAGTAGGGATGGGGTTTCTTTTGGGGGTAATAAAAAAAAGTCCTATGTTAATTGTAATGATGGCTGGATAGCTCTGTGAATATACTCAATCCTCCTAATGTCTACATTTTTTTCTGGTTCTGGGACTCAAACTGAGGACCTTACACTTACCAGGCAGGCGTGGCATCACTGAGCTAAATCCCTGGCCCCTAATGTCTACACTTTAATGGGTGAATTATATAGTTTATCAAGTGATTTTCTTTCACTTACTTAGATTCCAGTCAGAAATTGTATCATCATCATCAATTTCATCATCATCTTCCTCTTCCTCTTCAATTCCATCTTCATCATGCTGCTGAGCCACTGTCCTTGATCTATGAAAACGTGGCCTTATATCTTGTTCACTATCAGGAATTGTTTCATCCTCTTCAACATCACCCTGTTTTTTTTTAAAGGGAAATTTTTGGAATAACCTATGTATAAGTAAAACAATCAGGGCATCCAAAAATGGTACCATGCATAAGATTTTGAAGAATACTTTCTGATTAAGAACTACTCCCTGGTGCAGAAAATGTTTCCTTGTGGAAGGAAGAAAAGAATAGGACATAACACCTGTTAGGGTATGAAGTCCTTTCAGGTCCACTATATTGTATTAGCTCATACAATCTAAGTGTAGCTGAATCAAGTTCAGATCAGCATATTAAGGAAGTATAATTTCAAATAAACTGCAAATAAACATTCATTGTTTATTCTCTCCTTGAATTTTTCTAGCCTACTGTAACAGGAAGCCTATTTACATAAGGCTAAATCTACATAAATGTTCTATTAGCCAAAGATTTACTAACATAAAAAACACATTTCCTATCTATCAGAAAGGTTTCCTTCCTTACCTTAAGCAGGATAATATCTATATCTGAGTACTTCATGCCATTCACTAACACAGGAATCAACCTATAAAGAAATCAATTTGTGAAACAAAGATCCAATGACCTAAACAGAATTAAGTTTTAACAACCTTGTGTATACAATGAAAGAGACAACTACAGTAACATTGTCTTTGAGCATATTCAGTGATATGTCTGCCCTTATTAACTAAACGAATACTAATAAGGAGGAAGCAGGGAGACTCAAATGTGAGTCCTGCCAAAGCTTCAAGCTCAAGTCACTGTGAATTCCAAAACACTAACACTAGTTAAATATTGTAGTTAGAAGAAGATAACAGGATTTTCACACAATCGTATTTCATAAGCTATAGACATTTTGTAGGAAAACCAGGTCTACTTGGATCACTGACAGATAAACTATTAATGATCTCTGTGAACAATATGAAGGAATGGTGAAGACATGTCAGAATGGAAGACAGTACTGAGGAACAATGCGCCCATCTACCCTTTGAATTTTTTAAGAAGGAAACTGGAGCAAGTTACGATGTTATCTGAAAAAGAGGCAACAGGGAAAAGTTTAAACAATAACTACTTGAAGGACTGAGGTCCCTGGGGATAAGAAAAAAACATTATGTTGTTTTTATCTCAAGCAGAAAGACTGATTAGGAAGAAAACTCACATGAAAACCTATGCATAAGATTTGAGGCAAGACAAAGGGGTCACCTGTTTTCTCTATAAAACAGAAGTACCCAAAGAACTGTATAAGACTGACAGAAGGTTTGACACAGTTGCTCTGTTGGCAGATAAAAGCTAATCTGGAACAAAGAATGCCAGATGGCATAAAGTGACCATAGAATGTTGCAACAATTTCCCTAGCAATTAACTTTCCCCAGTAGTATTCAACAGCCTGGTTAAGAAGCAAAGGAGGGAAATAATCCAGAGTAGGGGAGACAGATGAAGGGTAGCTAGAAGTTTACTGCTGGTATGGTTTATCTGCACTTATGGTACCTATCAGATAAAGACGAATCTGAGATTAGGAAAACACAAAGAGGTTAGGGTTAGGCTGTGGCATGGGGCGGCAGATGGGCTCTAGTAAGTTTTGCAGAAAATTTGGAACTGGTATTTGGCAAGTAAAAACAGGAGGTGGAAAGTAAAATATGGATGTCAACTATGACTATGCGGCAATCTGGCAAATGTCTGACGAAGTCACAAGGCAGGTTATTACGTTTGAACAGGCCCAATTTTTAAGCAGCTTTCTTCTAAGGTCTCATCTAGTCATTAGAAACAAGAGTCTTTAATAGAACATTATGAGATGGTATTAATACCAACAACAAATGTTTACTGAGTAGTTAATATTCATTGTTGTTGTTTTACATGGGTAATCTATTCATACAATAGCCCTGTAAAATGTTAGTGTATAAAAACAAAGATGAAAAAAAGTCAAAATAATTTTTTGGGAAAAAAAAAAGAAAGAAACAAAAATGTAAGAGTTCTACCAGATAACAAAATATATTATTAAATGTATAATAATCAAAATAATATACTAGTTGAAAAAGACTATATAGCCTAGAAACAAATACAAAATTTAATGTTATCCTTATTACATCAGTGCTTTCTAAAAATTTTTTTTTCAAAACTTCATATACACATTGATGTTGACATTATCCCTGCCTACCAATGCATCATTAAAAAAGTAGAGCACGCTGTTTTATATATAAAAATGGCACCCACTGGCTGTGGTGGTGCATGCATGTAATCTCTGCTACTTAGGACACTGAGGTGGGAGGATGCCAAGCCCAAAGTCAGCCTGGGCAACACAGTAAGTTTTTGTTTTCTCAAAAATAAAAACAACATAAACAAAAATAACATCCCTCAAAAAATATTCATTATGTAGCATTATGCAGTTCTATTATTATGAACCCTTTCAGCTGGGGGGATTAAAAAGCCACCCCAACAGTGGAAGGTAGACAAATCACCCCCAATCATGATTGCTTTGAGCTAGCTGTTTAACATTTGTGCTGACAAGCACAGCAAACCTGTTACCAAATGCCTACTTGTTTTAAGAATGTTTGGACTGTATAATGCGAGTATCTAGTTATAGAGGCTCGTATTATAAATAATACCTCCTAATGTTATAGCTTAGTTTTTCATTAAATCACTATCTAGTTTAATAAAAATATTTATGACTTTTTAGAATTATATGGCCCTACAACAAGTCCCAAGTATCACAGAAACACTGTAAGTTGCAGATGAAAGAAAGAGTAATACATGGATTTCCTAAAGAGAAAGAAAAATTCATTTAGCACACCACCTTACACTTCATCCCCAAATAAGTTCCAGACTGATTAGAAGATATAGGTGAATGTAATTAGAAAAGATAAAGGACTTAGTTGAGTACATGCAAATGAAAATATCTAGGTACCATAATCATCTGGAAAAAAGTGTAACCCTAGAAATACTAAATCAAGTATATACCTTCTAGGTTGTAATTTGGAATATTTCTACAGAACTTTTACAATGTCCATATACTTTAACTTCAATAAAAATAACTCAGGACTTCCAGTGGAAAGAAACAATCATGTATAGTCAAAGACTATACATGTTCACTCCAGAATTATTTATGATTTTAAAAAAAGCTAGGTATGATGTGCAGTCTTCTAAGCCCAGTTTCTTGGGAGGCTGAGGAAAGGAAGATCACCAAATCTGAGGCCAGCCTGAGAGATTCTATCTCAAAGTAAGGGCTGGTGATGTAGCTCAGTGGTAGAGTGCTTGCCTAGCATGCGCAAAGCCCTGGGTTTAATCCCCAGGATCTCAAAACAAACAAAAGCCAGACAACCTAAATGGTATACTCAGCAACAGAGTAAATATTCATATCCAAATAATTAAGAGTGACTAATATGTAGGTAACTGTATGTGTGCTGTAGCCACCATAATGGAACAGTATACACATACCAACGTTTTAAAGACGAATGACACAATATTATGGTGAGTCTCATTAATGTGAATTAATGTGTTATTACAATAAAAGGTTGATATATTCTTGTCTAGTCCAATCAAGGGGGGAAAAGCACAGATATTCCAAATAAAGAATTCATAGGAAGTAATCACAAATAAAAAGTAAATAGAAGAAATAAGATTACTTTGCTCAATTCTATGCAAATCAATTTGAAAATAAGCAACAGGGTAACTTTGGGAAAAAATATAAATCACCATAAAGGGCCCTAGAAGAATTAGAAAACATTTCAGTCCCTTCAATGATAACGAAACTGTATTTTATAACTCTCAAACTTCATTTTTTTTTTTCTTTTGATGATAGAGGGAACTGAATCCCAGACCTTCACACTAAGTTACAGTCCTAGCCCTTTTGCATTGTGAGACAGTGTCTTGCTACACTGCCCAGACTCTCAAACTTGGACACTCCCACTTCACCTTCCAGAATAGCTGAAGTCACAGGCATGGGCCAGGGTACTTAGATTCAGTCTCTATTCTGCCACTTTTTTTTGGCAGTGCTGGGGACTCAACTCAGGGGCTTGTGCATGCTAGGCAAAATGCCACATCCCCAGCCCCACTCAAATTCCACTCTTGATAAAACATTTTAAAACTAGAAATAGGTGAATGTTTTTATGGCATACTTGAGAGAAACGCTAAAAACAAAAATTGTTTAAAAGCAATAGGGCCGGGGGATTTAGCTCAGTGGTTCCGCCGCCTGCCTCGCAAGCGCAAGGACCCAAGTTTGATCCCCAGTACCCAAAAAACACAACAAAAAGATTAAAAAACAAAAATTGCTTAAAAGCAATATGGAAATACATCAAGTTTTCTAGAACAAAATCAACAGCTGTGGAACAATAATCAGAAAACATATTTTTAAAAAGACTACTTCAACATCATCAAAAAGATAAACACTACTCAGGAACATACTCTATGTGATATAAATTAAGACTGATACTAAAAAAATAAATAAATAAAAGGGCTCGGGGATTTAGCTCAGTGGTGCCACTGCCTGCCTCTCAAGCGCAAGGACCCGAGTTCAATCCCTGGTACCAAAAAAAAAAACTTTAAAGCACTACCGAGGAGCCCCCAAGAGACATTAACAAATAGAAAAACATGTTCTTTTTGGTTTCTTTTGGTACCGGGGATCGAACTTGGGACCTCGTGCTTGCGAGGCGGGCACCAGAACCACTGAGCTAAATCCTGGCCGGAAAAACATGTTCTTAGAAAATAAAACTGAACATGAAATATGTCACTTTTCACTAAGACACAAACTGAGAATTTACTGAGTCAAATAAAAAACAGGAATTGAAACCAGACAAGACAATTTTTAAATTCACTGAATAAATAGCCAGAAAATAGACAAATAGGAAAAAGCCCCAAAACAACTACTAACATGGAAGAAATCATACAACACATAGTGACTTTTAACAAATGTCAAAATAGTATAATCAAAATTTAAGGCCATAACTGTAACTGAGTTTCTATGTTAACATGTTCCCTCCAGCTTGGACCACTGGTGATTGAGAGCTGCCCGGCTGCAAGACGTCTGAATCAAGCCCTGGTGTGAATGCATTAAGTGCATCATACATTATCAAATCTGATTCTTCTCCAAGTACTCTGAATTCATGGTATTTAGTAGAAAATATTTTTAATAATTTTTTATTTTTTGAAAAAATAAAACAATTTCCTAATAAAATATTAAAGAGAATAGTTAATATACTGCATCATTATTTTCAAAGTAGTTACTGAACACAAGACATAGACAAAAAGAGATTCTCTCTTACAAAGAAGAAACACAGATAAATAGCACAGAACTTTCTTGTCAACGAACTAAGAGAAACCAGTAATATAAATGAAACAAATTAGCATTGGGGAATTATCTGAACTTCTCCCTACTTCCTATTTATCGACCTTCTATTTTGCTCTCTACCTGTATATATTACAGGGATACATGCATACCTATGTTTATAGCAGCACAATTTATAATAGTGAGATCCTGGAAACAGCATATATGTCCATTAACTGATAAATGGATATAAAAAATGTGGTATGTATATACAATGGAGTACTACTCTGCCATAAAGAAAGATAAATGTCAGGCATTTGTAGGTAAATGGATGCAATTTGAGAACATGATGTTAAGTAAAATAAGTCTGACACATAAGATTAAATATCACATGATTTTTATAAGAAACTAAAAAAAAATACAAATAATGAACAAAATAGAAGATAGATAAATGGTACAAAGTATTTACACAGAAAAAATAACATTAAAAAAACCAACATGAGAAATAGTAACAATGGTTACTCAGGGTGGTAAAAACACAGGAAATTTTATATTTTAAATGTAATTTTCAGAAAAAAAGGGAGGTTACTTTTTAAAGTAACAGATTTAATTGGATTCTTTGGGTTAAAAATAGGCTTTTGAGAATAAAATCTCAGGGGCCGGGGATTTAGTTCAGGGGTTCCGCTGCCTGCCTCGCTAGCGGAAGGTCCCGAGTTCGATCCCCAGTACCAAAAATAAATAAATAAATAAATAAAAATAAAATAAAATAAAATCTGACATCACCACAAGTGGGAAATTATTTTTTTCAGAAGCATAAAATGCCATTATGGAGTTCGTGGTCAAATTAGACATTATATAAAAATACAAATACAAGGAATAACTGTTAAAGAATTAAGTTTAACAAGAAGACAGTATTTATAAGTAGAAACACTTACTTAGGAAGATGTCTCACAAGCACATCTTTGCATATTGGTTGCTCAGCCAAAGTGAGCCAAAATTCACAAGCTTCCAAAGCCACATTTTCATCTTGATCTTGGGTCCTTTGCAGCATGTACTACAAACAGAACCCTTAATATTAACAGTAATCAGTTTAAACCATAAGATTAATATAAACTCAGTACTATATCGGGACCTCGCTCTGGCCTTGCATTTTACTATTGTTTTCAATACAAACTTTTGAACTTTTAAAAAAATCTTCCCAGATGACTCTAAAATGCAAGTAAGTTTGAATGTTGCCCAATAAAAACTGTCTGTCCACTGTACATACCGTTTCTGTGAAGGTGTACTCTATGATCTTCCAAACTAAAATACCTCACATAACAAAATATGGCAACACAACTATTACATATCGTGTCCTACTGTTAAGCTACTATTTCTGAATACTGTAAAGAACTATAACATTACAAAAATCAGGGTTTCCAGCTGTGACCTAGTAAATGTCAAAATTTTTAAACTTTGATTAACTCCAAAGTTCTTCCTTAAACTTTCAACCAACCCCACTTGATTTTTTTATAGAGAAAAGGTTTGTAATAGAAAACATTATTTATGTCATATTATGCTGCTATGACAAATCTTTATCCCTACAAACTGCTGCACATCATGGAACCTAGCATTCTTCTAACACATCTTAACCCCTCCCCCAACTATGGAACTCTGTAAGTAAAGGACAGGCATGAGACAACGTACTAAAGCACTTGTAAAGCAATATAACTCATATACAACCATGCTCACCAATATGAAAATAGATGTGACTATAGTATTACTGAGCAATGACAAAACAAATATTTTGTTGTAATAATATATTACTGTGTAGTCTCTTCCTCTAAATATGGTTAATCTGTGATCAATATACTTAGAATTTCCTAGCACAATCATTTTAATTGTATAGGCCTTGAAAGAGAACCTTACAAAATCTAAATGGTTTGCTAAAACTATAATGGATCAATGTCTAACTCAGTAATCTCATCATTTCCCTATGTCAGAGTTCATCAGGTGAATTTTACCAATAATAGAAAAAAAAGATAGAAAGCAAATTCTTAACATTAATTAAAAATTCCAACAACCCAAGAATATTAATTTCCCTAAGTTTTATTAATCAGTGTAACCCATTTTTAATAAATAATCTAAATACTTTCTCATTATCTTAAAATTTACCTACTCCTTACAGCTATCTACTCCCTTTAAATAATTTCCTCCTATAATCTTAAATCTCATTAAGAAAAAAACATCAATTTATGCTTTTAAGATAATTATTTTTATAACCCCCAATGTGTTATTATAAATTAGAAAGCTGTAGTTACACATTATACATTTTGTGCCCAATACTGTTCTTGGGGTTTAAGTGAAGAATATTTAAACTGCTTGTGTTACCTCAACTATATTATGCATGTGAGGAAGCAGGCGATCCATTCGAACTTCAAGCAACATCACAAGTGCTCGGCACACATTTTTCCGTACCTCTGGTTCTTCATCACCAGCCAATGCAAAGAGATTCTATTGTATGAGATACATGTTTTTTTCAAGTTTAAAAATTTCAAAACTTTAGAAAGGTTTATACAATTTGCAGGCTAGTGATATTTTTAAAAACCCTCTGAAGATATAATACAAAAATATCAGTAAGTTGCAAGCTAGTGGTATTTAAAGAAACTCTTTGATGATATAATACAAAAAGAAAACTGAATTTGCCAGGCACATGCCTACAACTTCAGTTCTTGAGAAGAATAGGTGAGAGGATTGCAAGTTCGAGCTCAGGCTGGGCTAGTCAGTGAAACCCTGTCTTAAAATACAAAGATTGGGGATACAGCTTAATGTAAAGACCCTGGGTTCAATCCCTAGGAGCCCCCCCCCCCACGCGCATAATAATATCTTGAACCTAGGGATACTCTACTGCTGAGCTACATCCCCAGTCATTTTTGTTTTGAGACAAGGTCTCACTAACTTGTCTACGCTGGACTTGAAATTGTGATGCTTCTGCCTCAGTCTCCCTCTCTTAGTTGCTGAGTTTACAAGTATGCACCACTGCACTCAGCTAAACAGTATACTGAGAAAAAAGAATTTAAAAGTAATCAAGGTATTATACATAATACTCCATAGTCAATGTCTGAATCACAAGTAGAACAATTAGTAACAGAACAAGTGCTTCAAGAACAAAGGTGGTGATGACAAATCTTACCTCAATAAAAGAATCAATATGCATCATCAGGGCTTGAGTCCTGCTGATGATAAACTGATTGACACATGCAACAGCATGAGACCTAGGAACAAAGTTTAAAATTAAACACATTTATTATTAACAAGGAAAAATGTGAATGATATACTAAGTGAAAAAACGTAAGTTGGAGAGCAATATTAGTATTTCTAAGCAAGTAAAAAACTGTCTGAAAGGATATGTGTAAATTTTTAAGAGTGGACAGCTCTAAAGAGTAGGACAGGTGATGAGTATACTTTATTTTATAAACCTACAAATTTAAAAATAGGCATACATTCCTTTTGAAACAAAAAATGGAGATTAGGGTATGTGTTCTGGGTGTATTAAGCTCAATCCTTTACCAGAGTTATTGTAATATGCTCTAGTTGTTTTCTCAAATTCTGTGTCAAACCTCACTTCAACCTCTTAACACACAATTCAGATCACTATAGATTCTTGTTCAGACTTCTCCAATAAAACCTAATCCACTTTTCCTGCAAAAGATCAAATGGTAAATACTTTAAGCTTCATCATCAGATAAGACACTTTTATAAGGTCCTCATTTCTCCTTCTTCAATTTGATCCTTTAAAATATAAATCCTTTTTTTTGGTACCGGGGATCGAACTCGGGTGGCGGAACCACTGAGCTAAATCCCCAGCCCTACAAGTCCTTTTTAGCTTGCAGGTCATAAGCTGAACTTGATTCCACAGGTCAGTTTACTGACCAAGAGTCCAGACATTCCTTTGTAATAGGGATCTTCCCCAGTCCCCAAAACTTCAACTCCTACTATGCTACAAAAGCTTTTTTGTTTTGCTAATCTGAAAGGTTTGTTCCTAATTCCAGAGCCCTTTTTTTACTTGCTGTTCTTTGTCTTACATGTTCATTGCAATCTTTCAAAGATTTACTACTTTGTTTTGTTCAGACTCTCTGCACAAATATTCCAGAGAACCCCCTAGATAAAACACCTCTATCCTATGGTATTTCTACTGCCTCACATTACCACAGTACCATCACTGCCTCACATTACATTACTTATTGTCTGTTCTGTTCGTCTATTCTTCTGAATATAAGCCTGACAGAATCTGTCTTAACTGCTGTGCCTCAAATAGTAATGGCTAAGCACATAAATATTTACTGATCAATATTGAAAATAATGGGTGAAAGAGCAAACTACGGGGAATTAAACCACATTAAGTGTGTAGCACAAGGTAAAAGCAGTTTTTCTATATACTGGCAGTTAAGAAAGAACTCATTTAGTGCTTTTAAAAAGCTATCATTTATAACATTACCAAAGAAGACCAAGTACTTAGGAATACATTTAATAAAATATTCAAGACTGCAAAAAGGAAAAATTATAAAACTTTTTAGCTATTAATAGATGTCTACTTTCCCTAGCTGAATCTACAGATTCAACACAATTCCAATATAAATTTCAATGTTTTTTTTCATAAAACTCAGTAATTCTAGAGTTTATATGGAAAAGGCATCCTTACTGTCCACACCGTAAGTTCTAACTACCACTTCCAGGACAAAAAGTGTCAAAGCTAGGCCAAAAATCTAGATGACAACTCTGAAACCCTATGGATATCTGTGCATGTAAAACTAAAGTGAAAACTTCATAATGATTATCTGATTAAACAGTGTAAAAGCAGAAAAACTATTTTCCTGTTCTATAATCAGTTTCCTAACCAGATCTGTCTAATAACATGGGACATTTTTTTCCCTGAAAAATACATTTTTTCTCAATAGTCTTCTCTCTAGATGATAATAGTTCTAAATTGGAAAAAAAAATTTTAGAAGAATCTGAGGTATTAAGTAATCTCAGAGTAAATTTTTCAAAGTGAAGAACATTTCAATTCTTATTTTTCATCCTGGAATGTCTGCATATTTTAGGACAAATGTTGTTTAGCCATTCTTAAACACATTTGTCTTTGAAAAACCTCTTCAAATAAATTAGGAGTATTTCAACTGACAATTCCTGTGCTGTGAAACTGTAGGTCTTATTATTTTCATCCATTCTGGGACAGAATATAAATGTATTTATTATAAATAGTAGCACTATCAATGTTTTCTTTCAAGCTGAGATATTTCAGAGAACAGTTTTTTCAAAAAGGAAAATTTAGGGGCTGGGGATTTAGCTCAGTGGTTCCACCGCCTGCCTTGCAAGTGCAAGGTCCTGAGTTCGATCTTCAGTACCAAAAAAAAAAAAAAAGGGAAAATTTATTCTCACAGTTTGAGCTCTTAATGTTTAATCTGTTTGGCTCTTTTCCTGTTTAATTTATTCCAATATCTGTTATAAAATGTTTTAAACAGTGGTAATTTTCTATAAAAGTTCAAAGTTTGGCTCTAAAATACAGTAATTCAATTCGATGCTATATTCATTAAACAGCATTAGAATAAAATAGAGGGCTCATAAACAGACCTATACATAACTTTGCATATGACAACAGAAATTTTAATTAATGGGTGGAAGAGATTATTTTAATGAATGTGCTAGGAAAAAAGTTGTTAGTAAAATGGAAAAGTCTGGGCACTGTAGTGTGTAACTACAGTCACAGCTACACAGAAGGCTGAGGCATGAGGATCCCTTGAGCCCAAGGAGACCAACTTGGGCAACATAGTAAGGATGATATCTCAAAAAATAAAAACGAAAAAAAAAATTTTTTTTAAATAGAAAAACTATCTGTATTTCACAAGAGACACCAGATACATTAAGCTCTCAAACACTAAAAACCCTTAACTTGAAAATTCCTGTAAGACAATAGAACCCAACAGAAATAAAAGGACAAAATACAACATAAAAAGGCAACGTGTACAGTTCATAACATAACATCCTTACTGAAAGAAAAATATACTATCAATACAATGAAATACTATTTTATATCAATTTTATTAGCAACACTTAAAATGTGTCACGATAACAAATACTGATCATCTATGTCACAAGTGTTTTAAATCCTGCTAATATAAATTGGTGCCCTTCTTCAGAAAAGTTTGGTATTGGCAGCACTGTTCATTATTCATAGTAGCAGAAGTCACCAAAAGGCCATAAGGGGAAAGTACATGAATCATCTAATTGTCACGTAAGGCAATATTCCACATTAGTCAAAACAAATGAGCTACAGTGACAAAATATAGGTAAGTCTTAGCAACATAATATTGCATAAAGACCCCACAGATTACACGTAATATAAAGACATTTTTATAATCCTATGAACAAGTGTACATACAATTTGGATATAAATGTGATAAAATTATTTTGAAAGGTCAGGGAAGGATGAAGTTGGAATGTAGATGTAAAATGACAAAATGCCTCCTCATTCTACATTTCCTAAATCCAAAGTTATCTGAGAGGGAAAAATATTTTTAAGAGTACATAGTAAATTGGGTATGGTGGCACATGCCTGTAATCCCAGACCTCTGAGAGGCTGAGGTAAAAGGATTTCAAGTTCAACCCTGGGAAACTTAGTGAGACCCTGTCTCAAAATTAAACAAAACAAAACAAAACAAAAAACTTCTAAAAAGAGGGCCGGGGATTTAACCCAGTGCCAAGGCCCTGGATTCAATTTCCAGCCCTTTCACATTCCACACAAAGGTGTATAGTACCGGTTAACCTATATTAATAAGATGTTAAACAGTAATGTAGGAAGCAAATATAGTTACAAAAAGATGAATGTTTAGTGCACAGATAAACTATATATCAGATAGTTATTTACCCAAATATACACTAAAAAGATGCTAATGGAAGTAAAACTGAATCCCAAGAGGGGTTACAAAGAATTTTCATTGAATGGTAACATTTCTGTATTGCTGAACTCTATATAGTTTTAATCAAATGATCATCTAGCAAAATTTAATGATCAAGTAATGTTTATTAATATTTAATGTCCATCTATAGTGTATCAAGCACAAACAATGTTTTTATGGATTTCTCTTTCCTTTTCTTTTAAAATGTGAGAACTGGTAAGGAAAAAGTTAGATTCCTGGAAGTGACGCAAAGTTTGTGTATCACCTTAATTAAAATGTTAACAAGGAGAATGCCTTAAGAATGTAACCTTCTATCTAGCTGACTATGCCAGAGTAGCATTTCATTTTGAAAATGTATGCATATGACACTACTGCAGCTATAGTTTCCACTCTGAGCAGAACACAATTAAGATGGATAAAAGTGTTAAGAAGTAACAGAGAATTTAAGCAAGAAACAGATTTGTGTTCACCCTGCCACACTACTGAAACCATAACTCTGGAATACAACTTGGAATTCTGAAGCCCAACTAACAGTCTATGCACTAAAGTTCATGACCTGGACTCCTTAATAACTGACTTTAGGCAACAATTTCTATTAAAATAGTAATGATATTTGATTATCATAAAAAAGTGTATGAAAAGTATGAAATGGTGACCAACTAGAAATAACAACAAATACAACTGACAATTAGAAAGAAATGCTTTCTATAGAAACAAGTTAGAAAAAATTATATAACTGGACCCAAAAGAGAAACAAGTTCAGTGGCCCGTGGAACATTTTGTGACATAACAAAGCGTCTCCCACACTTCAACTATTAAAATGACAATATCATGATGATTATAGCTTGATAGAACTGATAACAAACTTAATGAAAGGTTAATTTAATATTATAAATATTAATACTTTGACAACTACATGCCAGGAATTGTTCTAGAAAGTAGAGATTCAGAGGTGAACAAAGCAGATTAGATTAACTTCCTATAGCCAACTACACCCACCACTAAAAAAATTCTGCTACTTGAAGTGTTTAAAATGCTCCCCAGCCCCACCAATAAATTTAGAGGTAAAACCCTTAAATTCTTTTTCTTTTTTTCTATTTTTTTGTTTTTTGTTTTTTTCAGGCAGGGTCTCCCATTGTAGTTCAGGCTAGGCCTGAACTCACTAGGTAGCCCAGGCTGGCCTTGAACTGGCAGTAATCCTCCTGAGTGCTAGGATTACAGGTGTGTGCCACCATATCCGGCTCAACCCTTAAATTCTTAACAATCTAATCAGAACACATTTTCATTAAAATTCATTCAGTTTACTTAACACAGGATGAAGAAAAGCAGAGAACAGGTCAGCCTTGGACCTAAAAACAGGAGTGTAAGAAAAAGATACTAATCCTTAACTAATCTTGACCTTCAACAAAAGAACTTACAAGAACACAACTATTAGGAATATAATTAATCATTCTGAAGGTAGAGAACTATATCAAATTTAATAAAAATTTCATCAGGAAGAGTCAGCATATTATGGGATGTGTCATTAAAGCAGTAAACTTCTATTATGTATGTTCACCTTTATGGAATATCTTTTGCTAATCACAAAAATATTGACTAATGCAAAGTAGGGGAGTGGTCAGGCTTGTATCACAAATTAACACTGCCTACATAAATACCTTATTTTGGGACTATTGTGCTTGAAGAATTGTAAAAATTTGGGAATCATGATGTTGAGAGGGCGATCTAAAACATCACTATCTAAAATCTCAGCAGAATCTTCACATATTTTCTGAAGGGCACCAAATGCTCCCTGTAAAAGACACATTAAAATTCATTAAAAACAAAAGCATTAAGACCCATGTTTATAGCAGCACAGTTCACAATGGCTAAGCAATGCAAATAGCCTTAGGTCAGTGATGGTGAAGCTTTTAGAGATGAGTGCCCAAACTGCAACCCCAAACCCACTTATTTATTGCAAAGTGCCAAGACTGCAATTAAACCTGAATACTGAGGTTTTTTGTTTAGAAAAACAAAAATTCATACATTAACATCTCTTCTTAAATGTAAAATAACATGTGCCATGGGTTCACCACCACTGACCTAGGTGCTCTGAATAGATAAAGAAAATGCAGTGCATATATACACAATGGAGTGTTATTCAGCTACTAAAAAGAAGAAAAACATGTCATCTGTGGGAAAATGGATGGAAATGAGGACCATCCTGTTAAGCAAAATAAGCTAGTCTAAAAATTTAGAAAACTAAATAGATGACACAAAACTAGTAAAGTAGACTTTCAGAGATGGGGAAGAGGATTAGAGTGAGGGGAGAGGAAAAACAGAGAGGAATAGAGATGAAAATAATCAAAATATATATTCATGTACCGATATATCAAATTTCATTATTCTGTATTACCAATATGCACCATTAAAAACAAACCCCCCAAAACATTTAAAGGAACATCAACTGGGGCCAGAGATTTAGCTCAGTGGTTTCGCCACCTGCTGCGCAAGCGCAAAGACCTGAGTTCGATCTCTATTACCAATAACAAAAACAAAACAAAACAAAAAAGAACATCAACTAATTTGTATGCATTACTCTTCTTAGCACACATGAAATGCTGCCTTCTAAAATCCATAAAAAAATTATTCAATTTTAAAACATTATACACTGAGTATCTAAAAATCTCAGTTTAAATATAATAGTATGTTTTAATTTTCCATTAAGTAACTCTGAACTGGAGAATATTCTGGTTGGCAAAGATGAAAAAACATTATCTATCCCAAACTCTAACTCTACTGAAGTATTTTTGTCAACTTTAAATCATTAATTTTTTCTAATGCTAAACTGAATGTAGAACTATTTCCACAGAAGTGTATTTAACCATCACTGACACTTTCTGAAGCACATGAAGAACTCATTAAGCCAGGTGTGGTGACATACACCTATAACCTCAGCACTTAGGAAAGAGGCTGAGGCAGGAGGATCACTCCAAGTTTAAGGCTGGCCTGGACTGCACAGTAAGTTCAAGGCCAGCCTGAATGACACAGTGAGACCCTGTCTCAAAAAACAACAATCAAAAAAAGAAGTCACTAATAACATTAAAAAATTACATATAAACCATTTATTGGGTAACTGGTGACAAAACCTGCCCTTTAACAAGGGCAGGAAATTCAAATGGCAATTTTTTCTCTATTTTTAACCCAAAGGAGATAAATCCAGCGCTATTGTACACAGTATACAATCTATCAGCTACCTCAACCACTTTACTGCTTATAACTACATCAGTAGCAGTATTCTCCATAGTTAACAGTAAAATAGTGACAATAAACATAAAATACAAAGGTAACTTTAGGCTTCTATTTTGAAGCTGTACATTTCAGAGGAAGTATTTTCCCAAAGAGTGTTAATAAACAGTATGACCAAAAAACCCAAACCAAACCAACCAACAAAAAACATCCCAAAACAAACCAAAAAACAAAAAAAACGATCATAAGAAGCAAGTATCTCTACCTCACAGGTGTTGTAATCTTCAGAATCCAACAGGCTACAGAGTTTTGGTAAGAGGTCAGGCCAGTTTTGCAATTCTCCCTTGGAGGCAATGGTTGTAATCAAAATACCTTAAAAGAAAATACACATTTTTCAGGAAAGCTGGCCATGTGAGCAACGTACTTAAATATCCACATCAGCATCAGGTTTCCATACCTTTAAATAATAATAACATTGACAGCTCATCATCACATCATAATCTATGGAAAAACCACAGCATGAATTAGATCTGTTTCCTAACATTATACCTTCTGCAAGCTTTTTAAAAAAATTTACTCAGTATCTCTACAAAAGATTACAACTAGCTTTCCTCCAACAATACCAAGGATAGCTAATTAAATTTAACTCCAGTGTTATAAAACTTACATACAAAAGGAAGCAAGAAAACATACTAAAATGCTATTACTAGCACTTATTAGTGAGTGATTAGTCTGTAAGTCTATAAAGTTAAAAAAAAAAAAATGTACAGTATCAAGAAACTAAGAACAGCTCCCTGATTTAACTTGGAATCACAGCCAAGGGCAATGGAAAGGAAAAATAAAGTAGAGGAGCACCACTTGAGAACGATCGGACTAGTTTCATGTGGTTGTGTAGATAGGCTACAGATCCCAACAACAGTCTCTACTTACTAGATTCAAGGATGAAATACCAGAAAGGCCATCTTGAATCTCTGAGGTTAGGTGGCATAATGCTGACTGATCATATTGTTTTGACTGACTGAATTATTTCAACTGTGTGGTGCAGCTACAGTGTATAGTCAGTGTAGTAGGTCTTTGTAAATATACTATCAGTATGTAATATTCCTGGTAATTATGAATTTTCTTTAGTACTGTAAGGATATAAATTGACACTAGGCAAGTTATATATACTCTAGACTGCAAAATACTAATCTGTAAAAATGAAAAGTATTCTCTTCAAAGGGCTATCTTGAAAAGTGAATGAATATATGTAAAATGCCTATCATCTAGTAAATAGTAATTAAAGAACAGCAAATCAAACTGTGTAGATGAACTTCCATTGAATTTTCAACCTTTAGTTGAGAAGGTTCTTCCCAATTGTAAAGAACTTAAAGCTGTTGACAATTATTTACTCTGAGAAAAAAATTAAATAGTAAGGATCAATAGCATTTTTAAGATGTAACTCTTAGAAATAAAACAGTCCTCCAGTAAATTCAAAAGCAGCAAGATCTGATCCTTCTTGCCAATTACTCTTTAAGTCAAAATACAAAAGAAATGAGGGAAAGAAATCTGATCTGCCTTAAAAAAAAAACACTAAAACAAGTACATCTTAAATATACAAAATGGAAACAACCTACAATTTAGTACTAACAGACTGCTGACATTTATTACTTGTAGTATTAAAGAATGCTGATAGACTGACAAATTCCAAATGTATCTGCCCCACAATCTCAATTTCTGAAAAAAAATCTAATACTTAACACAGCTGCAAAAAGTGAAAAGTGACAGGTAATTTTCAGTTTAAAATCAATAAAGGAAAAAAAACTTGTGTACTTGGCAATACCTATTAAAATCTTAAATGTTTAAACAACACCCTGACCCAAGGATGCCACTTCTATGAATTAAACCTACAGAAACTTTCCCACAAGTATATAAGCTTATGTGAAAGCATATTGACTAAAATAGTAAAATTAAAAATTATATATTCCTTAATAAGAGAAGTTTACATTTATCCAATGGACTACTAGTCATTAAAACATGATCCCTTCCAAATATATTTCCTTGGCAAGATTCTCGATATATTGAAAAGATGGAAAGAAGTTTTAAAGCTGAGTGCAGTGATACACACTTTTAGTTCCGGCTACTTAGGGAATTGAGGCAAGAGGATCACTTAAGCTCAGGAGTTGGAGGCTAACCTGGGCAACATAGTGAGGGATCCTGTCCAAACAAAACAAAACAACTGAAGCTGTAAATTTACTTTTATAATCAGAACTCTTAGCTAAAAATATTTACTAAGGTTTTAATGTGATGCAAATATTGTATTAGGTATGAGAAATATGTGGTCTGTGCCCTTAAGGAGCTCAGTCAGGTACACCGCTGTCCCGACCACAAATGGCACTGTTCACAGGCATTTTCAGTTGGCACAACAGAGGATGTAGCTACTACTGGCATCCAGTGGGTAGAAGCCAGAGATGCTGATTAACATCTTATGCACAGAACAGCCCAATTGCAAAGAATTATCTAGCCTAAAATATCAAGTGCTGAGACCGTAAAACCCTGGTTTAAACAAAAAGAATGCTACTTTAATAATGTAGTATACTTATGCTACAGTAGAAAAAAAAATCTCAATTTTCTAAGGTTGATGTGTGATGAAATGGTTTTCAACTCTTAGAGGTGCCTTTCAGAAACCTACAAAAATTATTTTACTTATAAAATGTTCCAAAAAGCACTTCAGATTTTTAAAATGTGAACTAAAATTTAAGAGATTAAAATAAAAATTTTCTGTATTTAGTTGTTGGAAAGCAACAATGTGTTATATAAAAAGCTCATCAATTTTCCTGAAGAAAAAAAATTTAGCTTCATCAAAACTAAAAAGCACCCCGATTTTGAGGTATTGGTTTGGATGAGAAAAAAAAAACAAAACAAAGACAACAGAACTCAGAATGTTAATGTTGTGCCTTTCTTTTGGGAGGAACTTCTATAGGTGAATCCTACTTTTCTACCACCATCTGTAATCTGTATCAAAAGGCAGAAATGGCAAAGAACAAAACTAAAGCAGATAATTTAACTGGCCAAGCTGCTTAACTTATTTCAAGCTGATAACTCTTGTTTTAGGTAATTTTACAATTTTTTTAAAAGTGGAAAAGTTCATATACATAGGTTGAACAACCCTAAGCTGAAAATCCAAAATAGAAACTTTATGACACACAAAAGATTCAGATTTCATAGCAATTTGAATTTTGGATGAAGGATGCTCAACTGGTAAATTCTATGCAAATACTCCAAGTCCAAAAAACTCCGAAATCTGAAGCATTTATGTCACAAGCATTTCAGATAAGGGATACACACCTTATATAAAAAAGTAGAGAAACACACTGAACTGAATGTATTCATTATACAGCTTTAACAACAGACATCAATATAGTCAACTGTCATTTCATATATACTTCTACCCAAACCCACTTTCATATTCCCAAGTATTTTTTTTAATAAAGTTCCAGACATGTAATTTAGAAAGATACTGCAGTTGTATCTGAAACTCCTTATTTTATATATGTTTTTAGAGAAGCTGAGTAAAACAAGTAACTAAATAAAAACTCTATTTGATTGCTTTCTCTACGGACACCTTCAGTAGCTTCTAATTAGGATATTTAAATATATATAAATGAACTAAAACCAAGGACTTTTCATACAAGTGGGTATCAAGAAATAAAAAAATGGCTAGGCATGCCAATTTACCTATTTTAAACTAAGAAGTCCAATGATACTTGTAAGTCCTTAAAATAATTCTAGGCTGGAAATATAGCTCAGTGATAACTCGGCATGTACCAGGCCATGGGTTTGATACCCGGCACAAGAAGAAAAACAATTTTCTTAAGCTAAATCTAACCCCCAAACATGTTCAAAAACTTTTATGAAAGGTAAAAGAAATCCAGCACACACTAAAAGATAACATCAGTTGTCTCCTCAATATGATTACTTCTAGCCTTTAAAAATTTAAGATATAAAGTACTATAGTTTGGACAAAATAGAACTCAAAAGATAGGTTTTTAATGAGATACAGTTTAGGGAGAAAATAATCTCATAATGTCTACATCCTGTCCTCTCCTTTCCTCTTAGCTGAACTGCTTTGTCTCCAAGGATGCCTGTCAGTTTCAAAATCTCATCACACTACATGTATAGGGATCTTGCTCCTTCACTTTAAACAGAAAAGATTAGCACACACTCCACCACTTTTTACCTGTGTCAAGAGTTGGTAAGCCAAGAGGGGGTACGTTGAGGGTACAGGAGAATAACTGAGGCAGTCACTTTTTACAAACTGCATATCTCTTCTATGCATCAAATTTGAAGCTAGTATTAACACCACTCTTTAATATGAAAATGTGTTGAGAGAAATCAGAGCCTCTGCCTTGTAAGAGATGAACTGTGCTTTTCATATTAAAAGATAAAATATATAAAGCTGAGGAACACTTAACGAAAGCGCTTGACTCACTGACTTCTGTTCAACCAACCTGCTCAATTTACACAAGTTTTCCAGGTCCTTGTAAAATACAGCTGCTAAACCCCACGGTGTGCTTAATGCTACCAATTAGTAGGCTACTCTGGAGTACAGCTGTCTTGCTGCTGACCCTAATACATGTGCTTGGCCACTTGCATGTGCTTCCAAATTGATTTCAGTTATTATAATTAACATTATATGAACTGAAAGTTGTTCTTTCCCTGAAAACAAGTTATGATCTGAGAAAGACTAAAAAATTGCTAATTAGGTAGACCAGGCAAATACTAGAAACAAAAGGAAAGAGCAAAATTCTAGGATCCTATACTTAAAAGATTACTTTTATAAAACAAAATGGTTTTTCTTGCAAGTGACACTAGAAATCACACCCCCAGAATTACACAGGGTAGACAGGAAGGAACTTCAATCTGCATATATCCAAAGAAAAGGCAGTGGTCCTAAATATCATTTGCTGATGCTCTCACCTTAACCAACTGCGACTAAGCAACTACAAGTGACCTTGGTCTCACTGGGTAAGAGAGCCTGTGCTGTAATCATTAACACTTTCAAAAGCATTTAAATAGCAATGAAAATGTCTCCATCACAATATAACAAGAAATAGGTATAAAAATTCCTGTGAAAACAATGTCACCTCTAAAACAATCCAGTTATAAATAAGATGAGCAAAATTTTTGTACATAACTTACCTACAGTGGCTCTGATCAAGGGAGAGGAGTCACCGATATTATTTAAACATTCACTTTTAATAAAGTCTGTTACACCATTTGGGAAGTTCTGAAAATGTGCTTTCACATTATTCTTCAAGATGAGACCACTCAGTGATCTTGTAGGTTCATCTGTAATAAAGCAGTTGAATTTTAAAGGAATTTTCATTTCAAAAAGTGGCAAGAAGAGTGCTTTATATTCAGAGGTTGATCACAACATTCCAATTTATCTTTCTACCACCAGTAGAAGAAAAAAAAGGTCACACATGATTATCAAAAAATTAGCTGTTTAATTTATATTTCAAGGTTCTTAATCTTTACATGATTGACATTTTAAGGATAATTCTTTGTTGTGAGGTACTGGCTGGTACACTGTAAGATATTTAGCACCATTTCTAGCCACAGATGCCAACAGTACCCCCCTGCCCCACTGTTACAACCAAAAATATTTTCAGTTAATGCCAAATATCTGGGGGAGGGGAGAGGCTGCTCCTTGCTGAGAACTGTTAACGTTAAGAATTAATGTTTTGGGCTGGGGATTTAGCTCAGTGGTTCTACCACCTGCCTCGCAAGTGCAAGGTCCCGAGTTCGATCCCCGGTACCAAAAAAAAAAAGTTAATGTGTTAATTTAGCTTATACATTGGCCACTATATTAAGGTTTTACTATTAGCTAATATAAACATCATTAAGGAGCTCAATTATTAGTCACTAAAAATAGTTTTAAAAATTAAACAGATAATGAACATCCAGGGTCACTTTCACATAACAAATACAAATACCATTAATTTATGTTTTTCATTTGCCTGAGGCTAAAAAAAGCAAAAATTTCTAAAACTATCTAAAAATAAAATTTGCTTTTTTTTCCCCCCTGGTACCAGGAAGCGAACTCAAGACCTTGAGCTTGTCAGCCAGGCACGGTACCATGAGCTAAATCCCCAGCCCTAAAATTTACTTTTAAAAAGTGTAGGCCACTGATAAAGTTAACAAATTTTCAAAAAAACAATTTAATGTTAGAATACAACAGGTGCTTTAATTCGCATCACCACCAGTAAGTTAACATCTTCTAAATGATTATTATGCATTAAATACTCGTTAAGGGCTTTAGAATCATGAGTGCACTTAATTCTCACAACCTTGTGAAACAGGTATTATTTACCTCACTCCACAAGTGAAGAAACTGAGGTTTGTGCCAAAGTCACACACAGCTACTAAGCAAGGAAATCATATTATCAACCTTAGGAGTCTGGCTCCACAACATACACTCAGAACTACTCGACAGTATTACCTTCCTCTCAAAGGATTGGAAAAGCTGATGTGTGGAATAAAAGGCACTACACTGCAACACTGTTTTACCTACCTTATTTAAAAGTAAATATCTGGAGCTTGTTCTAGTTAGTATTATGCATCCAAATTCTGATTGGTATTGAAATATTAAAGGGTAAAGCATATGTAGAAGCAAACAGAGAAGTTTTTCTGCATATAAATCCTATTCAGGTTACCACAGTAATATAACCTAAGAGCTTTTATGTCATCCTGTCAAGATTTCCTATTTTCAATCACAACTTATTTCAATTAGCTATTCTAATTATTTTAAATGGCATGCATATTTGTTTTTATAATAAATACTGTAAGATGAGGACTTTAATAAACTACAAGGGTGAAACAATTTTTAGTTAAAAATATATACCTTCTGTCCAAAATCCACTTTAGAAAACCACCAACTAACCATTTCTTTATAAATCTTATAATTTCGCTGGGCCTCAATCTGCTCATTTATAGTGACAGAATTAAAGCAACTCATCTCAGGTCTTTTCAGGATCTAACATTATACTCCATGATTCAGCAATAAGGATTACAAAATAAGCATTTTCACTTAAAGATGTTACTTATGTATGTGGATGTCTTCTCTTTTTTTAAAAAAAGAAAACTAGATATGGCAAAATTGCATCCCAATCTTCCCCAGGAAAGAATAATGGGTCAAAACAAGAAATATCAACTGTTATACAAATATAAAACTCCTATGTCCTTTGAGAAACTGTGCCTAATGAACAGAAGAAATAAATTTTAGGTTCAAGAAAATGTTAATAAATTCCTTTTTAACATTTTAGGGTTTTGTAATTAATAGGTCTTTTTGGAGGCAACTGCTCCCCTTAAACTCTTTTGTCATTATTTGAATTATACAAACTATGTGGAATCTAGGGTAACAATAAGACAGAATAGACTGGAGAATTAAAAATTTCAAGTAAATAGATTAGAAATTTTCATTCACTAAATATTTCAGTTCTTTTAAAAAAATCCAATAATGTGGATTATTTATTTATTTGTGATACTGGGGATGGAAGCCAGGGCTTCACACATGCAAGTGCTCTAGCACGGAACTATACCCCTAGTTCCAAGTGCAGATTATTAATTTTAACTACTGTTCAAGGAAAATTCTTATATTAGGAAAAATGTATGGCAGGGGGACTTAGCTCAGTGGCGCCATGCCTGACTGGCAAGCCCAAGGTCCTGAGTTCAATGCAGGGGTGGTGGTGGTGTTGGTGTTACTGTAAATGTATTAACCAAACTAAGGATATTAATTGCGGATTTTAAATATATGCTGAAATAATTCTTAGTTTTTAAAACCTAGATTTACAATTTTAAAACTGACTGTCCCTTAATCACTAATTAAAACCCACAAAGTCAGCTAGAAAATCATTTGAAAACAAAAACCCCTAAAATGTGTATCAATTATCAAAATCTATATATAAGATTTGTATAATTTTACCACACATTAAAACCATTAACCTGCTAGATGTTGGAGCTGAAATCTTACAGATGGTCTGGTTGTCTAACACAAGCATTTTATAGCTGAAAGAAGCAAGAGAGGTTAAACAACTCAGTGTCAGTATCTAAACAAAACTTGTTATTTTACAACGCCAAGTCAGTGTTTTCAAAGACACTAATCATTAAATGGAGGATGGTGCTTTCATTTAAAGGCCAGTCAACTGTCAAGAAAATTGTCTTCTATGTGCCTAACCACTGTTCCAGGAAAAGAATATTCAATACTTAAGTAATACTATAAAGAATACTCCTTATTACAATATTAGCTCTTTGAAGGCAGGGATCTTGTTTTGTTCACATTTACTTCCCATGAGCCTGCAAGAGGTGGTGCTCAATATAGCTGTGAAATAAACGTCCACTGAAACAATTATTTGTATTAGAAACAAGTCAGATGACCATGTCACTTAAAGATCAGAAAATTAGGCTTTAAATTGTCATAAAAGCACTTTAAATTTAAAATTGTAACAGTTAATGAAAAAGTCATATACTGCTAAGGTTTTAAGTTATAAAAGTTTATTTACAATAGAACAATTCCAGTTTTTGTTGAATTTAAAAGTAATATATAGTCAAATAAGTGTGCAGATTTACAGTTGAAGAGATCAGTAATTATCTCTGGGTGAGATGTGATTTTTCATTTTAGTTACATGTCTTCAATTTTTCCTACAGTGAACACACATATATTCAATTATTAAATCCTGCATTCAACCTGTGCATTAAATCAATCTTTACTATATTCATGTATAAGCAGTGACACTAAACCAAAGTGGACTTTGCAACACATTTTTCATTTGCAAAGAATGAGGGAATTTATTATATAAACACCCAATTAACAACTGAATGCTGATTAAGTATCTAAATGCTTGGAGTGGTATTAACTCTAAGACTTCGCATCTCACATATATTAAGGATGTGATACTACAAAATGAAACCTTCGGAAATGAGTAATTCCCAATATATCTTCATGGGTCTTAAAGACATTTTTGAGTAAGACAAACTCTACTTACCTTCAGATTTTAATTTTGTAAGGACAAAAATCAAGTAGTTGTTAAAATCCGGATACTGATTGAGCTGTTCCAGTTTCTAGAACAAACAGTAGTTAAGGAAACTTTTCTAATGTAATCTAAGAAACTAAGCACCTTTAAATTTAACAATCAAGAATTGTGTTTCTTAGTCTTCCATTTTTTACTAAAAATAAGGTTATCAAAGCTAATTATTGACATGCTGTTCTAAAAACACACTAGTGCTTACTAAACCTCTTAGGTACTTCATGGATGAAACATTAATTATATTCAATACAACAGAAGCAATTTCCAGTTTCAGCATGCTCAATGCATACAAAACATTTTAACAAAACAGAATTCTTAGATTTGACAACCGTTTAAAACATCACAGCCAAAAAGGTATTTCAGCATAAATTAATAAGAAAAATAAAAGCATTCCAAAGAAATGCAAACAAGTCTTTTAGAGACAGAGAACATTTAGGAAAATTAACTTTATAAAGTGGATTTTTGACATCAATAGGATACTTATACACCCCCCCAATATCTAACATGCTCAGTGGCACAAACGTGCAGGTGTTTCACTCAGGGTGGCAGGCAACAGTGGCATAATGCTCTAAATCTTTCTTCAACTGGTGACTATGGTTATGCACAAGGATGAAAATATTTTTTTACTCAGTCCTAAATTTCTAGTTAAATCTATGACAGGAAAGTTAGGTACAACTGTATTGGATATTTATTACATACTTGAATACTATCACAAAGTTTATAAAGATCAGAATGTAAATTCTAGCAAAATTTACTGTACTCTCTAGTAAAATTCAAAAGTGTAACTACTTTCTCCAATCAAGAAAAATCCAAACATCACTTGCTTTAGTGCAAGGTTAAGATTAACATCATGCTGATGTGCTAATAAATTTTCATAAATATTTCCTGATAAGGTTTATTTTCTTATGTGAGCTATAGCTATACTACTACAACAGTTTTTCAAAAACTGCTCAAGCTTATACAAACAATGATTAAATACATTCTATCCTTAGGAGACACAAAAGAACAAGGTCATTATTAACACTGTGAAAACACAAAAGCAGTGCCTAAAATACTATTTCCTCCTTTGTTCTTACAGGACATACCATGATCCAGGTACACAGTCAATTACACTGACTATCAGACTGGCTGAAGTATGTATGGTACTAGGCAAATGAAAACTACTTAATATACACCAACACAAGAAATTACAATGCAATTCTAGGGTTGGTTAATTTAAGAAACGTAATTGTATCATAAAATATCTGCAGTTAATTAAATGCCAACTTCTATCATTTGTAGAGGGCTATGACAACACAAATTAAGACAATCACAGCACTTGGAGATGAAAGTTCCCAAACTATCCCCAAACTACTGTTTCCTCAGTACTAGCAGTATTCAAAAATAGCTTAAAAAAAAAAAATCTAAGCAGACCCAAACCATTAGCTCCCTTTTTAAGTGAGCAGTTATATTAACCAAGAAGCTGGGTATTTAGTTCGTGTACTAAAGGTCTTAGGTTACAACTGTGCAGTACTTCTTTGAAACGCTCTGGTAAATAAATCCATCTTTATAGTGTTTTAAATTTAAATGAGTTCAAGCAACATCAAGAGCTTACTCACCAAATTCCATATTAATTTCGTTGCCTATTAACAGCAAAAATCAGGAGGCTTTCCTGAAAAATAGGCTTAAGGAGAGCTCTCCATCTGCGCAGTTTAGGACACTACAGAAACCATGTACAGCAGAGGTTTTGCTTCTTCCCTACCTTCTCAGACTAAAACTGTAGCAACAGGACCGCTACTCCAACAGGAGTGCCTAGGTAACTGCAGTAAAGACGGGCCAAAGCTTTAAAAGCTCAATTGGGAGCCGGGGAGCTGGCAACAGGTGTTAACCCAAGCAGCCTGGGAGTGAGAACCAAACAACGACCCTCTTCCCCAGTAGATCGCCAGCTGCTTCGAACAGAACCCAAGTTCCGGAGAAAGCCCTAAGCCCAGCCCGCGGCAGTTCAAACCCTGCGCCAGCTCCACCCACCCCAGCGGGCGGCCTCGCAGGCAGCCCGGCCAGCACAGCGCCCTCCTTCGGGCCTCGAACGCCTCCGTCCCGAGGGCCGCATTGTGTGGGCCACTCGCACGCGCTCCCCACCCCTTGCAGGTCCCTGCGGGCGGGGATGTGGCGGCCGGCCGCGCACATGTCGCGATCTCGGGCGGCGGCCCGGAAGTAGCCGCCACGGCAGCGAGCCCCACGCGGCGGCGCCCTGCGGGCCCGAGGGCCGCGTG